AGTTTCCTTGGAGCGTGCCAATGATGAAATTTGTTTGGATGCAGTAAATTTATTAAATTTAAAGAAATCTGTTTTTCAATGTACAACAGGCATAACAGCTCTATTTTGTAATTTTTAACAATAATATTATTGTTACGTTAACGAACAATATGTTGTATGTTACTATCGAATGTCGAGGCATAGTCGATAAAAAAATATCAAAATATTTCCTCATTGTAACAGCGACATACGATGTAAAACAGACTTAATAACTGTAATTTGTAAGTTTAATGACAGTGTTATTATCGTTACGGAGATTACATAGATACGGAGTTTTTCTACTACATGTTAAACCGGTGCGACGATAATCGGAATAAGCAAATATGTAAATTACTAATATGATATGAAATTTTTTTTCTCGAGCTAAGTAGCTAATGTCATACTTTTTGTAGAAATTTTTTTATGGCAACATTTATTCTTGCTTAGTCTAACTTTTTAATATAATTTTTGTTCAAGGAAATATAATATACATAACGTATTAATATCAAAACATGAAGTTAAGAAAAATATAAAATCACTGAAACGGTTAACGTAATCAAATATAGCGAAGGCAATTTGTATTTAAATTTAAGAAACAAAATATTAATGACTTATTATTCTCATTTGGCACAGACCTCTCGATGTCATTATTTTTGTAGAAGGTACAAAATTAAATTTATGTATAGCTAAGATAATTTATATATGAATTTCGCTTAATAAGTTTTCTTTGGTATATGTTATATCTGCGTAATGGTATATGTTATACCTGGTACTGTCATCAAAAGTTGCAAAATGGGCCTAATATATTAAATATATCGATCTACTTTCGTGCAGCTAGGTGAAAACGAATACACTGTGACAAGAGTTTTCAAAATAAATCGCGATAAAATGCTTCGAGTTATTTCCATTAATATGATAATAAATTCTGAAAACTTTTTGTGGATTACGGCAAACAAGAGTGAATATAAGGTGAAGTTCTCTCAGAAGAAAATGCGAAAATATATAAAAATAGACTTATAAGTTGATATATATATGCATACTAAAACGACGGGCATTGTAATTCAGAGAAAGGATTTATACACGAGCGAAAACAAGAGCGGTATCGAGAGGGGTTCCGCAAGATTCGAAGGCATGAGAAAGAATCGGCCGGGACGGATCGACCCGTGTTATGACGTCAGGAATTCATTGCTGACCATGAGGCTACTTAAAAGTCTAATGGATCCTGCAAAAGTTTATTCAACGAGCGAGCAAAAATAATTATTATTACGCACGAAATAGCATAAAAACGCGAGGAATATTCATAAGCGAGATAACAAGACGCGATTTTTCAGATCGATATCTAAATTCTATATCGAGTAAAAAGCTGTTCATTTAGATTCGTATAATCTCATCGCGCGTCCTGCTGCCGAGGAATCATGATTATATATTATTTCTCAATTATCTCCACGTGGAAAAATCCATTAGGTTGCGTTACTTATAAATACAAGTTGGCTATAAATTTAGTCTGTATGTAACAGCAAAGGCCTTGTCTACAATCTTGCTTCAAGTGAATGTACGTGTTAAACTTAAATTAAGTGACATCATATCCAGCTTTAAATCTGCGCTAATTCGTGAACCATGAGACGTAAAAGAAATCGGCAATTCCTATTTGGGATGTAAGCAACATGGAATACAATAAGGAGTTTGACCAATCGCGAGGAAATTGACCAATCGCAGTTAATAATCCCCTCGGCCGACTGTATGAATGACCGACTGTAATTAATTAGTTTTATTTTATTTTAATATAAGGTAATCAGAACAGTTTTTGTCGATATGAAGTTGATCACAATTCTAGGAAATTGTATGACTGCCAAATAATGTGTGTATGCGATACAAACATATAATTTCAAACTATAAGATACGACTCCAAGGTTCATACTTTAAATGAATATTATGAATGAAAATTAATTTGAAATAAAAATATATTTCTTTAATTTTTTCAAATAAAAACTTTTCTGGATATTAAGATTTATAACTTACGACTTATAACTTATAGATTCAAGCTTAATGATAAGAGCAAGGTTATAGACAAAGTTTTAGGTCAACGAACAGAGAAAATTTTTATGTAATCGTGATGTCCCTAATAACGTATTATCACGCTTACGTTAATATTTTTCTTACATACAGACTAAATTTATAGCCAACTTGTATTTATAATTTAAATGAACAGCTTTTTTTCTGATTTTGTACGTTAATCTGAGTTTAAGTGAAGGCTAAGTTCACAACCTTAAGTACTTAACGTAACACGAATTCTGATGGAGCGCCGAGTACAATAACCCAACGGTGTGCTTTAATATATTGCCAATTGCACGAGTTGCAACTTACCACGTAGAAAAAAAAAGAAATATTTCAGTTCCTGCAACTGAATAAGAACCAAGTGAAAACCCGGTGACGAGAAATGATATCTCAGTTACAGCGCGACTGAGAATATTCGTGTGAATATTCAGCTGTATTAAAACTCGGAGTTCAGCTGAGGACAATTGACAACTGAATAGAAAATTTGCTGCTCAAATTATGTAGTACTTTCCAATAAGAGACACAGGCGTGACATAGTTTTGACACAAGTGCCTTCCTACAACGACACAGTAGAACACAAGTTGACATAGCTGTAGAGCAAAGTCGAATATTTGTGCCATTTGTGATCATTAATGCCAAATATTTAGTAATTTGTATGTAATTTTTATATTTGTAGCATTAAATATACACTGAAAAATTGTTCTCTCTCTTGTGACGATTCTTGTTGTTTTGAGAGTTTTTCTATATATGACATTCATTACAATAAAATGTAAATTTAGAATGCACACCAACATTGTAATAACAAAATAGTAGTTTACACTTTTCAAAGAATTCATGTTTTGCCAAATAACTAATAATGTTGATAATCGCTGCTGGAGTGATCAAAATTTGTTTCATTCAAAAACATTATATGTAATATTTGATAACATCTAATATATGTACATGCATTATCGCCAACTAGCGGCTGCTTAAAAAATGAAGCCGTTTCCTTGTTGGAAGGCGTCCATTGTATTCCCATGGCCGAAATAATATCTTGTTTCCAAATTGAAAAACATTCAGTTATATTAATAGAGTTATTTTCTCATGTAGGAACTCTGAAAATCACACATTTCGTGAACAATACGTTAATAACATGTAACAAATAATAATAACAACAACATATCTTGATCAGACTTTTTACAATTCCTGCAACGTAGGAGTCAATACGATGAAATCTAATAATAACATGCAGAATAACACACGAAAAAAAGGACTCTCTTTTTTTGCAACAGAACAAGAACCATGAAAATCGGATCGATTGGCGATACGTTAATTATACAGATTATCATCCGCGGACAATTTAGTAAACTCGTGGAACAGAATGAAAAAAAACACGCGAGCATTCAAGATTCTCTTTTTGTTGTTTGCGCAACGTAAATCAAGCTTTCTGTTTACCGTGCATTATTCGACAGGGTTCGACGGCGAGAATCGAATGAATTACTATTGAATAATGCACACGGATCAAAGATCAGGGGACATCTTCTGTCTGTGTACGCGTCCGACTATATTCAGATCGGTTGGGAAAAGATCACGAGATGCGAGATTCTGTCGGGGAAAACGCCACGGACTTACGGCGAGGATTCATTGCCAACGATTATGCGCAGAACGAAAAAAGAAGAGTTAGACGAACAGTCTTCTCTTAACCCTGAGAGTAACATCCATGATCTTGACGCTACATCACAGATCTCTCAGGCCTACATTACGAAGAAAATTGTAAAAAGCGCGGTCTTTTGCTTTTTTACAAATATTACTCATATTTAACTAACGATCCATTGAAATTTTTAAGTCACTTGAACAAGCAATTAGCGGCTGACATCAATGGCATCGCGGTGATTATCACGCCTCATGAATTTTAAACTATAACGATAATTTCGTGAATTTATATCAGATCCGAGGAAGCGTCCTGTGCGAAGCGAAACGCTTCTCAGAAACTGACGTAACTCGTCGCTCTTTTACGTATTTTTGCCCGTTCGGAGTATCGGCAACATCACGATACTCCGCTCTTCCAACAGGAACGAGAGCAAACGCGGTGGTGCCGCACGATGCACTAGGTGTTCGCAAAGTGCGAATATACGAAAAGCGATAGAGAAATATGCGCGTCAGAGAATAATTTTATCGTGCAGCAAAACACATTAATTGTCTCTGAATTCTCGGAAATAATCAGCGGCAGATTGAACATTTCTTTTCAATTTCTTGCTGGAAAAAACAAAATCATTCCCTGAGACGCTTGCAATTATCGCGAAAATCATTTATCTTTGGATCATTATCTTTTCGAGTGGACGTCCGTTAGATTACCTTTGTAATTGGAAAAATAAGCCATCGATCATTATGATGCGTCATTCTGAAGCATATATCAGAATTCCACGATGTTATCTATATTCTATTATGAAATAATCACCTTTCTCTTTTTTCTCACCGAAGTGGAAACTCGAGCACGTCCGAACAAATAGAACGCTCGATCCAAGCGGAATTATACTTTGAAATGTATCGCTAAACTATACATTCTAGAAGAATTTGTTTTCCATCTTATTAAACGATAGGTATATAATGTTATGTATAGCTGGCGTGGTAAAAATGGGTATTTACCGTCTCCACGAGTGTAACGGTCGGAAATTACATGAGATTGAGATTTCATCGATTTCGTTCATTTTGCGCGCGAGAGCGAGAATGAGAGAGAAATAGAGCGAAGAAACAGCCGACTTTCTCGCCGCACTCTCTGGAATTGCATGTGCAAATTGCCGAAACTTGCGTATACGCTTCTGAGGTCATCGCTCGACGTTCATTCCGTCCACTTCCTACCGCCCCGTCGCGCTCGGTACCGATCTCCGCAATGCCCTCCCCCGGCTAAATGGTCGTCACCACCTGTCGGAATGCGGTTCGAAATTTACCTGTCAAGCGAGAACGGCCAGTCTCGGTTAGGTTAGGCACTCGATCGGCGCACACCGCACGCTCGGCGTTGCCCCTCAGGAGGCGGCCATGCGACGATTCCGTCGTCGTTACGCTGCCGAGTTTTTCACGTAGGACGTACACGCGCGATGCAACGGAGTACGTAACCACGCGCGTGGAACATGGATACACCGCTAACGGTGAATAGATTTTTTTTCCCACCTAAAAAGTGGCTTGCCGCGATGGTGCTGACACTGGCGCCGGTGCGGTCGGCGTGCGAAGAAACGCGCGAAATTCAAACTCGGCCATCGCATCTCAGCGTTCCAAGACAAACGTCTCTTGGCCGGACTCATTTTTGGAAATTTCACTTCAAGCTGATATTGAGCGCAACTTTATGATGTCTTTTAATCAAATAATCATAAATTTTCACCATTTTCTGTTCTTTCGTCACTCATCGGTCAAATATGATGCTACAAACATTGCTTTCTCAAACTTTCTCATACTTTCAGATGAAACATTTGTCGAGCTGTCAAAATTGTGCTACATATTATATTACTTTGAGTAACGATTGTAGCATTATATGTGTATACATTTCATTTAATTGCATTCAGGATGACTTTCGTCCAACTGAGATTCAACTAATCGATGAATGATAATGAGAAACGCAGACAATAATCTCCAGTTCGGTAACTTGTCATTTAGCAGTAATAAAAAAGTTAACAATCTTTATCTGTTTTAGCACGACAGAGTAGGTAATACTTAAGAAAAGACAGCAATTTTAAATCGTCAATTACATATAGATTGATCGGAGTTTGGAGGAATCCACTCTTAAAATAATCTCAACGAATGCCCGGCGGAATTGTCAATAGCAATTTCTAGCTGCGTGTGACTCGTCGTCTAACAATAACGAAGAAATTGAATATTTCTACCCACTTTGGCAAAACGATGTAGATAGAGCCGATCTTAAATCGTCGAGTGGACCAATCAGAGTTTGATGAAAATGATCCTCGGTATGATCGATTGACTGTTCGAAGTAGCATGCTACGATTAAGTGATTGCGTGTTCGTTCTCATTAACATAGTTTATTTTTCTTCTTTTTTTAGGACTACAATCGCGTCATGTCGGACATTTGAGGCATCTCGGCATCCTCTGCGCTTTGACCTCGGCCTCCCTCGATTGTCGTTTCAATGCTGAAAGAAGAACGAATCAAAAGACGGTTCTTGAAACTGATCACAACACACATCTCTAATGTCTCAACTGTTACACCCTCTCTGATCTTTACTCACTTATCGTCGCGGAACCGATATTCATCGGCTCCAGCTTCAGGCTCTGCATCTCTCGCAACGCCATTGCGTGAAAGGATAAGGCTGCCACACGTGTGAACAATTCGGACACGCCATTACCTGTCCTCGACGAAACCGCCCAGTATTCCGCCCGCATTCTGCTCGCCGTTTCCGCCGCCCGCTTCTCTATTATTTCGTACACGGGCTGGGACTGCCGTTTCCCGATGATGTTAGACGAACGCTTGGAAGATAGCGATCAAAACTAAGAGGACGAGAATGATATATCGCTTACCAACAAGTCCTTTTTAGCGCCCACCAGGAAGATGTGGTAAGGGCCGACGTTGCTGCGACTCGCTTCGTTCAGCCACTGCTGGCAGTGCACCAGGGACATCAAGTTACCCAGATCGAAAACGACCATGATCACTGTTGAATACGTAATTAATGCGTAATTAAGATATCAAGTAATTTCTTAAGTGATTAAACAATTACTCAGGTAGCACAGATACAGTTTCATCGATACATTCTTCAAACGCATTTAATACAATTATGAAACGTTACATACGTTTGGAAAACGTACACGAGAAACTAACGCGTGTCTTTACCTTATAAACTTACAAACTTTTTAAATAACGAAATAAGTTAATGATAACTCTCGATTAAATTATAGGAAATCAAGCGCTGCATCGAATAATGCATTAAGCGATTAACATGCCAACATTGAACAAATAGATGTTACGAGAATGTTTACCGTTCGCGCCGCGATAATAAGACGCCGCAATGCACTTAAATCTTTCCTGACCCGCGGTGTCCCATCTGCAAATGTTCTTTCTTGTAGTTATGATTATACACACATAAATATACTTGTGCATATCATTAAACTGTTTACGGATATCTCCGCGTTTGATTTCGTTACATTTGCAAGTGGAAGGGCACGCCGAGGATATCGAATCTCTCAACCTCGAAGTCGACACCGATGGTTGCCTTGTAATTGTTATCGAAGAGCTTGTGGCAGAACCTGCGCAGAAGCGATAGCTGTTCTAACTGCGAGGTAATACGAGCGCGACTTTGAGGGCTGGTTGTTCACCTTCGGATCGATTTACCTAATGGATGAATATCCGAAGTTGAGAAGTTCCCGTACGGAAAGAAACTACAGGAATACGAAAAAATTACTGATATATTATTGTTCTTCAATAGTATGTCATAGTTCTTTAATAAGTTTTCCGTATTCTTGTAGTTTATTTCCGTATGAGAACGTTCTTCAAACATTTATCCGCTAGATAAATTTATCCGAAGATGGAGCAACCGGCAATCCCAATTAAACTGAGCGATAATTAACTCACAGGGTCACCAAGTGAAATTTCTATTGCAGAAGAAATTGAGAAAGATGTAGAATTAGAAATTTCAATTGCAATCTGTCCGTATCTACCATCATGGTTTGAATCGAATCGACGATCAACTCAACGAAATTGACCAATCACATTGGCCAATTAGCTGAGCTTACCAATGCGACTGGTCAATTCCGTTAAATCAATCGTCGATTTGATTTAAACCATGTCGGTGGAAACGGGCATAAGTCGAGTTTTGTTTTGACGCTTGTTACCGATTCACCAACGCTGTCTTGCCGACGGCCACGTCGCCGATGACGATCACTTTGGAGATTCGGAGAGTCAGGCTTTTGTTGTCGCAGGTTCGTCTGATCAAGCCGCCGAAGTCGGTCACCGTGTACGGAGTCGAGTCCGACGAGAACGGCGGCGGCCAGTTGGTGATCTGCCGTTGAAAATTACGTATTACATCGCGAAGAAGAAGAGGAATTCCGTCCGTTCGTCGGCGTTTTATCAATCCCGACGAGTTCTCTCTCACCTGCCTCTCATCGCGGGCCTCCTCCCTCGTCATTTTGAAAACAGCGGAGCGCGTCTCCAACATCGCTACCCGTCGAATCGAGCCGGAAGGTCCGACGAATTTTTCACTCTCTCTTTCTCTCTCTCCCTCTCGTTATTTCCGTACACACAGTCGCCACTATGCGTAATTATATACTTAATTAATCATTCGTTTTACGACACATATTTGTCCCCCGATCCCGCACCCCCTCGATTTTGAGCGCTACGGTGAATTGCGTGCGGCTTTGCGCGCGAGACTGATGCTCGTAAGCTCACGCATGAGTAATCCCGCCGCAAAGCAGAAACATCGGTTACTGCGGCAGGTGTTCGATTGTGAGTAACCTACCGCGTTACGTGAGAGTCTCATACGGGTGTCGTAGGTGACTGATAGTGCATTCGATTCGCTACTACTCGATTCCGTAGATCTTCTCAATTCTGTAAAAAATAATTATTATAAGATATTTGCTATCAGCGGAATAGTATTAATAGTCATTTAATTTCCCGTTATAATTCGTATTTTTGTACACCTTTTATTTAACCATGCTCGCGTTAAACGTTAATAAAAATCATGCTTTGCAAGAAACCACTACGACCTTTATAAATAATTTTTCTAATTTCGTACTTTCTGAAATTGACATTTGCTCGCCCGATCCGTTGATATCGCTTCGATTTATTAATTTAACAATTTATTATTTATAGTATATGTATTAGTTGAACTATTCGAGGCTACTTTCTTTGAGGAAACGAATGTTTGTTCGGGGGGAAAAATTTTGCTGACAAATAATCCCGTTTAGAAATTCCCGCGGCGGCGTACGGATACTTCCGTTTTGTGCGTCAACGACTAACGTAGTTTCCGGTTGTGATTGGTATTTCGTGCACAGGCTTCCTCCAGAACGTGCGTCGGTCCTTTTAGCAAAATGGCACCTAAACCGAAACCTACGGATAAAGCAGGTATGTGGAAAACTACTTCGCAACGTTTGTATCTTTTTGCGGCACGAACATTTTTCGGAATAAACAATCGATGTTTAATCAACTAATATAAATCCGCAACCGGGAGTACTTGTAAAAATTGAGGTTCGTAATGAGAATATATGTTCTCTCACGCCAACCATGTGGTCCGTGATTATTTGAGTACACGTTTTGACTTACTTACGACGAGAATGGTAACAAAAACGTCCTCCGAAATTCTACACGCTACTCCTTCGAAAGGAAATTATTTGAAACACTAAATTTAATGGTATTTTATTTACAACGTGTGCCCGTATCTTCCTTAACCTATAAAGCATCGCAAGACTAAAGTTGAAGTTACACATCTCGGTGTTTTAGTCCTAATCTACAATAGATGCTTTAAAGTTTAAGCCTTAAAAAAATTTACCAATCACAATCGAATTATAGAAGAATAATCAATCACGATTGGTCAATTTCTTAAGGCTTAGAGTTTAAATTCTCATTGTAGACCCAGCTTTGATCTGCATGTGTGATGACTGCGTGGATTAAAAATATATTCTTGGTACTTGTTTTATAAGTTTGAATATTATACATATAATTTCATAAATCTAGGCAAGCCTGCTGAGAAGAAGACTGAGAAGAAGCCAGCTGCTACTGCCTCCAGTAGCAAAGTAACAAAGCCTGCGGCCAAGCCTCCTGCTGCAAAGAAACCAGCAGCTGCCAAGCCGACGGCAGCCACCAAACCTGCGGCCAAGCCTGCAGCAAAGAACGTACTAAAACTTACGAGCAAGCCATTGATTAGCAAGCCGAAGAAGAATGTACAGGTTGCGAAGAAAACCCCCAAAGGTGGTAGGCCAGCAGCTCCCCTTCAGAAAGCTCTTAAGGCACAGAAAAAGGTATATAAAGATAATATATTTTTTTTATTATTCTCAATTTTAAGCGACGAATGATGAAGCTATCTATGGGAATCTCTTTGAATTTTCGTGAGAAGACTTTTTATACGATACTGAAGAAACAAAGTACACGAAATACACACCTTTGTGTACCATCATAGATGTTGATTACCACGTTTGTTCCTCACAGATCTTGAAGGGAGTGCATGGATCGAGAGTACGAAAAATCAGGACGTCCGTCCATTTTCATAGACCCAAGACCCAGAGGCCATCTAGGACGCCGAAGTATGCACGTAAATCGGTACCAAACAGGAATCGGTAAGCACCGCCGTATTTTCCAAACTAAAATGTTTCGTTCAAATCTTAAATCTCTCCTTACGATTCTCTATGGAATACGTTTTATATCAACGCGATTGTTTCAGCATGGATGCTTTCAACATCATCAAGTATCCTCTGACGACGGAAGCGGCCATGAAGAAGATTGAGGACAATAATACCTTGGTCTTCATCGTACACATGCGCTCCAACAAGTATCACATCAAGGCGTCGATCAAGAAACTGTACGACGTCGATGTGGCTAAAGTGAACACCTTAATCAGGCCAGACGGCAAGAAGAAGGCGTACGTGCGTTTGACGCGCGATTACGATGCATTAGATGTCGCGAATAAGATCGGTATCATATAAATTTTGCATCTGGCTTGTATATTATTCGATAATAAAGTACCAATACGATAAATCAGCCTCTTTAAACCATTATTCCGTGATACTTTCTCTGTTAAACTTGAATGACGTAGAGAGGGAGGGTATCTTAACACGTGCGAGAGTAAGATTGTTCGTAAGAAAAATAAGATTAATATGTGTGAATAAGAGTCGGATATATTTACCAACCGAGCAATAGTACTGATTGTTGGTACCTGCATGCATCCCTATTGCCATCTACCTCGAACAAGAGAATCCAATGATGGTTTGACTGGACTATCAGAGACCTGCAACTAACTGTCAACGTGTGTAACTTGAGGTAGTTTTAATCGTTTCGATAGGGAGGGAATATCAGTGATGATGCAGATGACGTGCGAAATTAGAATAATGCGCAGCGATCAGATAATAAGAAGATACTAATATATTGTTCGAATTCGGTTATAAAATAAGTACAATACATGTGTAAGGTAAGTGATGTCGGTTGTTTTCCAGCAAGAGGAATCAAATCGACATTGGTTATATCATCTGTTATCCTTTTGTTTATCAAATACGAAATAAGGACAGATGATGATGTGGCCAGACTTGTGTTTTTCGCTGGAAAGCAACAAAATTATATATCAAGTAACACATAAATTTCACAAAATTTAACCTTCATTCAATTCTATACATTTCTAATAATCGTCATGCCTCATCACAGGGCTTTGCTGACCAAAGATGATAGAGCCACCAGGATGGAATTCCAAGAAGGACGAGAGCATCTACAAAGCCGCGGGTGCGATGCACCTGCGGAAGTACGGGGAGTTCTTCGAGAACTTGGTGGAGAAGTCCTGGGGAAACGACTCTGCCTTGGAGTATGTCGTGGAGGGTCCCGTGCGGCTAGTGTACAAAACTACCGAGGACATCAGCATCATCTCCCTGGTGGAGATGGAGAACAAAGTCTTGTCCAAGTTGCTGGCGGCGGTGGCAGGTACATGCAGGGAAATCAGGTTGCTGAAGGTGGAAGCTGCTGGATTCTACGCGAAGCTCTTTGCGCACGGGGAGAGGTGTATGGACGACGACCTCATCGACGTGACCAAGCTGCTGTCTGATCTTCAGGATCTGTCTATCTTTGCCAACCGAATGTCAACTGTCGTGTACCTGACTACTCAGCAGTTGGCGAGTCTGTCGGGCGGTGTTCACGATATCTATCTGCCAGCCTTGATAGAAGCCTTCGTGGACCTGTTTGTGATCCTCACGACCCTCGACGAGATCGTCGATGCGCAGCCGGCGATAGTGGAGCAATGGAAGAAGTACAGGATGCACGTGCGCTCTATGATGCACAATCCGTCGCAGTTCGGGGTCGCCGAGACGAAGCTGGAGACTTTCGATCATCTCTTGAGGGACCTGCAGGAGAAGCTGCTGCGACGGAATATGTTTCTGAGAGCTATCGAGCACGTGATGGACGTGACCAAGGGTCCGTTGATGAACGAGCAGATCGTCAGCTACCTGAAGAACACGATGACGGACGTGGAGAGTAAGTCGAGCGATCACGCCGCGTTGAACAAGAACTGGATAAGAGTCAACGTCGGCATCGTGGTTGCGATCAAGCTGCTCGGCTCCTGCGACAAGAAGCTGATCAAGAGGGTGTTGGAAGCGAACAAGAGGTTCTACGCGGTCACGTTGATAGGGAACGTCGTGTGGGTGCCGAGCAAGTTCCTCAGCGACATCGTGCCGAAGGAGACCGGTAACGCGGTGAGTCCGCAGGTGGGCGAGAAGATCCTGCAGGCGCGAATCCAGAGATTACCGCACACCGTGAACAATCTGATACACAGAGCGACCGCTTGGTGCGTGGAGATGCTGAGCATCCTGACGAGGATCAATCTCCAGGTTTCGGACATAGGCCAGAAGCGCACTTTGCTCACCGACCTGTTGGCTCTATTGTCCCAGATGAAGGAGACCATCTCGTTCGTGACGAATCTACACGCCTCGCTGTCGAAGCCGATGAACCGCGGCACGGTGCAGCTGATTTGCAGGCTGGTGGAGCTGCAGAAGTCCCTGGAGACGATGTTCCATGCGCTCGGGCCGGTCGTGGTGCAGTCGCAGGCCCAGGTGCTGCAATATATGGCTTATTACGTGCTGGCTCTGCTGGAGACCGCGCGTAAAGGCCTCGTGCAAAAGGACAAGGGCTACAGCAGGGAACGGCTGGACGCTTTGTCCTTGATAGGACTGAGCATGCGGCTGATGGGCGGCCCGGCGAGCGCAGACCGCCGGCTGATAGTGCGCTGCGCCCTCGCCTGCGCCAACCAGCTGACCGACACGTTTCGCGAGGAGGACGTGGTGAAGCTGAGGTACCTGTTGGACAGCTACGACTCCGTGGCCGAGTTGTACGAGTCCGTCGACGACCTCTGCGACTACTCGTTGCTGCTGCATCATCAGAACATGCTGCCGGCGTACTTCACCTCGATCGTCGACGGCAACTCCAGCGTTTACCATCTCTCCCACCTGTTCGCCGCCTTTAACAGCGCCGTGGGCGAGCAGGAGTCGGGCGAGCTGAGGGACAAGCGCATCGTGGAGCTCAGGGAGACCCTGGTGAAGAGCGTGCTGAAGCCCGCCTGCCACGAGATCGAGACCAGTCTGCGGCTGCACGTGCACGCGCATCTCAAACTCGACTCCACGAATCCCTTCAACGTCGGCGCTAAAGACGGCTGCAGGGTGGTGCGGGCGCCCCCGTTGCCCCTGGCCGAGAATATGGTCTGCGCCAAGAGGTTCGTCGAGCACTACCTGGACGATATGTTCTACAATCTAACGACCGTGGCCCTGCACGATTGGAGGACCTACCGAACGATGCACGCCTTGGCCAGCTATAAGATGGGCCTGGATACCGTGCAGGATCATTTGCCGACCCAGACTCTGGAGCAGGGCCTCGACGCTCTCGAGATCATGCGCAACATTCACGTGTTCGTTTCCAGGTACTTATTCGACGTTGTTGAATATGTCAAAGAGAACAGAGCTGGAGAAATCACTCCTCCAAAATGACCGTTGACGTTACTCATCCAGGAAGAATAACTTGTTAAAGAGAATATGTTATCCGAGAAAAATGTAATGTTGCTGGAAAGGCTAACTTAAAAAGTAACGGTGTCACGAGTAACATGTTACTTCTCAGCTACCTTCGATCAAAAATAGGCGAACCGGCGGATTTTAGATCTTAAGTTTCTCTGCGTTTCTCGTGGTCGCATGAAAAATGTAGTCTGTTTAGGAATAGTAGATCGCATTCGACGCGTCCGTTTTTTTTCTCGAACTTTTTTTCTGTTTGGATTTGCGATGAGTTTCTTCAAACTTTTAATTTGCACGACTCGTTAGATCCTCTTCGAATTGTCTTTATTCAAACTGAAGAAAGTAACATATTTGTAAAGCGCGAGATTAACAAACTGCAACAACAACAGCGGGTTGGCTCTCATAAGTCAGGTGTTAACGTTCCCTTCTTATCGTAACTTTCGGAGTCACACTTGTATATTTCTTGATAAAAAAGAAACGGCTAAACCCGTCTCGTTTCGGGAAGCTGATTGCCCTGTGTTCGCCGGCAGGTACCTGTACAACCTGAACACGCAGACGTTCGTGGAGCACAGCAGCGGCAACAAGCACCTGAACACCATCGGCATCAGGCACATCGCCAACTCGATCCGCACCCACGGCACCGGCATTATGAGCACCACGGTGAACTTCGTCTACCAGTTCCTGCGCGTCAAGCTGCACACCTTCTCGCAGTTCCTCTTCGACGAGCACATCAAGTCGCGGCTGATGCGTGACATCAGGTTCGTGCGGACGCAACGGGAGGCCGGTGGCGCTCCTTACACGTACGAGCGGGCGGAGAAGTTCCAGAAAGGTATCCGGAAGCTGGGCATGACCGCCGACGGGCTGAGCTACCTGGACCAGTTTCGGCAGCTGATCACGCAGATCGGCAACGCGCTGGGCTACGTGCGGCTGATCCGTTCGGGCGGCCTCCACGCCAGCTCGAACGCGGTGTCCTTCCTGCCGGATATCGAGCGAACGGTGCCGTTCGAATCGTTGTGCCGCGGGCTGAATTACAGCGCGAGCACGCAGGCCGCAGCCGGTCGACTCGAGGCCGATATCGCCGACCTGGTGCGCAACTTCACCGAGGGCATCCAGTACTTCAAGCTGCTGGTGGACGTGTTCGCGTCGGCATTCCGCGACACCAAGTCCTACCACCTGCAGCAGTTCTACGCGATCGTGCCGCCGTTGACGCTCAGTTTCGCCGACAATTCCGTCTCCAACAAGGAGAAGATGTTCAAGAAGAATCAGCAGGGCGCTGCCTTCACCGACGACGGTTTCGCCATGGGCATCGCCTACATCAACGCCCTGCTGGACCAAAGCGCCGAGCTGGACGGGCTGCACTGGTTCAAGACGGTGGAGCAGCATATCAGCCAGGAGAGACACGCCGCCGAGAGCAAGGACGACCACGGCGACGAGAAGCTCCAGCAAACCAGAGCGCTCACGTTGAAACGTCTGGCCGAGAGGAACGCCGAGTTCCAGCTGTTGTACTACAGCCTCTCCGGCGCCAGGGTGTTCTTCAAGCAGCCCGACACGTAGCGCGAGACGCTTGCTCGGCTTTGATCACGCGATTAAGAGCACCTCGCGCTCCACCTGTTTCCTTACCGATCAGTGGCGGATTTTTACAAGGTGCCTCGTTCTAATACAAGTTGTTGTTTCCATTAAAATGGGATATCCTGTACAGGAGCTAACGATGCTGAATCATCAGGGCCCTCGTCGGAAAGAGGCCACATTCCAGTTATCCCTTCTCATTTACTTCTTAATTACTTTTCACAAGCTTGATGAGCTTTTTAGCGACTCGTAAGTTACAGGCTCCCGAAATAGTATCCGCATCAGGCCTCGAAGAGTCACCCGTCCGCCACTGTTGCTGGCCACTCAGATCGACTTCGAGCGATTCAGAGGGAGTTGGGCAGCCATGAAGGCTCAGACGAATATATGTACGATAGCATTTCGGGTCTTAAGTTGAAAAAGCGAGACGAAAATATCGGACTAGAATATGGGAGATGAAGGATCGCGAGTTGGAACTTCAGCCGGAGGAGGTAACGAACCGGGATTGAGATTAGCTTTAGAAGTTGATTTTGCTGAATTCGCATCTCTAATCTTTAATTTCTATTCCGCAATCTCTATTCCCAATGCTCGGTTTGATGACACGGGCCTAATACGCGGAGTTCCAAATCAATGCGACTCGAGATCCGGCTTCTCTTCCATTTATTCTCGTACATAACGTGTCCGTTGTAGCACATACTGTTGTGTCTGTAAATGACTTAGACTATGGTTATTTTTATAAATAATTTTCTACATTCACAATATATCGTTACAATATCAGATTCCTGTTCAATAAATAATGGCTAGACTGAGTGACTAGGATTTATTACGTTTAAGGATGGGTGCACTGATACGTTGTACCGCACCTTGTGTTTGTGTATGTATGTCGTGTGTGTGTAATCGCAACCGCAGAATCGAAGGAATAAATGGACGAAGGCGCGCGGTGTTGTGACGTTCCGTGGTGTGTTTCGAGTTTCAGATCGACTCACTCGATCACTCGATCGGCGATCACTAAAGTAATACCAATTCAAGTTGACGACCTCTATCAAGCGAGATTAAGTCGATTTTATCGGGTGAGAGTCATCAAAACAGCCAAGCGAGCACCGCACCACGGGACGTAAACGAATCGTAAGAGTGGCACAACTTTCGTAGGAATGTGACGTGAACCTTCATCCACTTGTTTTCTTTTTTTCTTTCTTTCCCGACGAATCGATCGTTTCGAAGATCGTTGCATCTCTATTTTCCGAAGAGTTCGACCTTTCGAAAGGATCAGATCCGATAGTCGAGTCGGCGTTGCTTCTAAATTGCCGATCAAAAGCTCGCCCTTCCTAACAACATTAACGCGCTGTCGGCGCACAATAGACACAGACGTGTATATATATATACAACACGATCGACCAGCCTCATAGTCGTAAAACGCATACGCTAACAAATCGAAACAAAGCGAACGCAACGCGCGCACTTCGCGATCAAACAAAATCGCCCCGTGAGATTCTCCGTGGGAGCCCCATCGCGCTCCAGTTTTGCGATGCGATCGCCGTGCGCGATACCGAATCCAAGCGGGTATCTCAAGACGATCGCGAGCAACGTGGAGACACGTCGCAACGAAACGTTAAATCTGTCGAAAAAGAAACAAATAACAACCGAAATTCCGCATCGTCGATACATCGTAAACAATATCACATCGAACTCGTCGGAATTGAAACAGATCTCTACCTTACCGGGGGAAATACATCGATATTAATTAACGCGCTATCGCTCTACGTGGCACATGTGTCGGCCTAATTCCTGACACACGGATATTTTGATAATCTTTTAACCTTTCAACCAAGCGTCTCGCTGTTTTTTTTTTTCTCGAGCGGGGTCTGCAAAGATAATTTAAGCTCTAAGCCTTAAGAAATTGACCAATCGCGGTCGAACGTGAGGAGAATAATCGACCGTGATTGGTCAATTTCCTAAGACGTAAAGCTGAAAAACATCTATTGTAGAACGGGACTTAAAGAGCTTTCCAATTTCCTCGCCGTATACCGAGATCAGTCTCAGCCTTGCGACTTCGTCATCCCCGTGCGGCTAATCGCGGTTGCGCGAGCGACGACGAACCTAAATAACTAATTAACTTATACCTCGTACGATTCCACGCGCGACTATCGCGTCCGCCGCGTTACAACGACATATAGATATGCTTGTTTCCGACGTGACATCTAAATTACGTTAAGCTTCGCTCGCCGAGTCCCCGAGAGCCTCTCGACGAGGCGGGAGGAGTACGGACGTTCCTACGAGGTATACCGTAGGTATACGAGTGTCTTCCTTAGGACTGTGGTCTGGATGACTCCTCCGGATCCAGGAGATCGTCGCAGGATGCCGTGGGCGGCAGCAGTTGCCTGCCGCCGCGCTTTTTACTGCGAGTGAATACTTTCGTGAGCTGCGCGAACTTACGCCGTGACACTGCAACAACGTTTTACGCCGTTAGATTACCGAGAAATCGTGCGGGGAATCTGCGCGAACATCGTTAGTAGCCCGACTGTTGTCCAACTGTTGCGCACTTACTCTTGCCCATGTTTCTCAGTCTTTCTTTAAACAGATCCTCGTCGTCGTGGCCGGTCTGGCCGCCGCATTTCTCAAGTTTCGAATCTACATGAGGAAAGAGAAAAGGTTTTCAGATCCGGGATCGGACGTACCGCCGTTTCGGTGAACGAAAGCGCGATCGCTTACCGTGCTCCAATGTAGACAAGAAATCCTCGTTCCAACGTAGCTCCGCCATGAACTCCTCGTTCTGAAGGAACATGGCGATCCTCTCGTCCTCCAGCATCGAGTTCTCCTGCGGATAAGCCGAGTCGAAACTGTCGTCGGACGTTTGCTGAGGGAGTCTCAGGAAGGTGTCCGGCAACGGTCCCAACAATGGGGGCTGCCACTTGTGGATGTTTTTTAATGATTTACCAGAGTCTTTCTTGGAGGGTGACTTGGTCGTGTTTGGGAGTTCCTCTTTCTGCTCCAGCTCGCTTCTGATTTTCTCATTCTCATTGTCGGTGCTCATTGTGAGCAGCTGGTCGATTGTGGTGTCCACAGCTCCCTGATTAGATCTCAGCACAGCCTGGTGAGCGAAAATAGAATGAGCGCGAATGTACGAGTCGCGAACATCCCAAGTTACGATACAGCGGTGTTGATTTTCGACAGAACTCTCACCTCTATCACATCGTCGTCCATCTGTGGAAACATGTTCTTGAAGTCGGCCATCGCCTGGTAAAACTCTAGGGTGGTCTGTTGCTGTTGCTGCTGCTGCTGCTCCGTGGCAGAGGCCATGATGAGGCTTTTTCGAGGGGCAACGCTATCGATGAACGCAATCAGACTTGTTAATGAGAATTTGTATAAGCATTTGCATATGCGACTACTATATATGCGACACGTACGTGTTCGTTCGTTACCTGGACAGTCTTCAAGAAATAACAGCTGCGAGCGCACTGTCCATGCCGGTCGGCACTGTGTCGCTGAGTCGCTCTTTGGCTCGCGCGTCAAAGCGGTAATTAGTACGGTATCATTTTCCTGGGCGGTTAATTAATGCTCGAGTGTGTGTGTGTGCGTACGCTTGGCGTTATATTTGTGTGAGAGACGTTCAAAGTACAAGCCAGCCGGTCGGTCGGTGGTTGTCCTACGTCATCGTGTCTGCGGCCGAGAGAGCCCCGGTGGAGTTGTCAGCTGTCGAAGTACGACGAGCTTGCGACAACTTCGTCCGACTCCGCGTCGCTCAGCGACCTGACCTTTGAAAATGATATCGCCACGCGTGCTCGGAGACTCGCAGTTACATCGAGATTTCCGATTTACGGTTCCGATGGACGTTTCACAGCGCGCTCTGCGCCGTCGCCGCGAAATCGTCAACGACGAGTGCCCGAGATTCTTCTCGATGACTTTCGGAACGCGAGTTGGTTCGTTTGGTTGGAAGAAAAAAAAAAGAAAAGGAATAGACCCGCCCTTGTAACTCAATTGGTAAGCAATTAAATTGTGCTTGAAATAAAGCGGACGTATATTTAATTCTCTTTCACTCGGTGAGAGAGAGAGAGAAAGATCACAAATATTTCGGAACGTGTGTAAAAAGAGTAGACCTATCATCTGCTTCATTTCGAGTGCAGATAGTGCAACTTGGTGCAGTTAAGAAGTGCGTATCCGAAATTCCCCTGGAGTTCGGCGATGAGTTCGAGGACAGCTTGAGATCGCCATTCGCGAACACGACGATCGTGATTCGAACGCCGATCTGCCGCTCATCTGCAACACCAGATTTCCGGGCGTCCCTGAATCGCAACGGCGGCGTTCATTCATCCGCATCGTCATTGGTCTCTGCGGCCTCAACAGTCTGCAGATTCCGCCGGCAGGTGGCGGTGCGCGCTGGCGTCCTAAAGCCGACGCATGGGGCGTTCACTATCTCTCGCTTTTGTCGCTGGTGTGTCTCGTCGTCGCCGTTAGGATTGTAGTGTTCGCACTATTCTTTTCTAAATCCTTATTCATTAATACAGCGTGTGTAGCCAAAGCCAGCGTAAACAATGGCGGATCAGCAAGAAAACAAGGACTTCAGTGACGACGTGGCGGAGCAAAATTTCGATAAGAACGGCGAGGCTGAGGGCGGCATCGGCGGTGGCGGCGACGCCGTGGAAAATGGCCAGGACTCGCAGGAAGACAGGTAGGAATCTCTCGTGTCTTCAAACAGCGTCCGTGCGATCCGAGCCGATTTTCGCGCTCACCCCCTCCGTCTCCGCCGCCGCACCGCCGAGCGTGCATTAATCGCACTTTGCGCGCCCTTTCCCGCGAAATTCTTCGGCGTCGTTGTCCCCTTCCGGCCCGCCGCCGTTGGTCTTCTTGCTCTTTCGGAACGAACAAAATGGCGATGGCCGAGCCGACGAAAACGTAATCCGTTCACATCGGCCGCGCGAACCGGCGTCCGCGCGATTCTTTCGCGACGCACGTCTACGACGCGCTCGCAGCTGCGTTTTTTCTCCGTCATCGGCGCTCCTCGGGGCCAGTTCGAGCGGAATTCGCGTTATCGTGATGTAGGCGAGAGACTTTTTTGTGCGGTTCGGGAGAGAAGAAAGAAAGATGAACGAGGCAGGAAGGAAAGAGTGAGGGGGAAAGAGAGAGAGAGAGAGAGAGAGATATATATAGATATAGATATATATATATAGATATATATGTATATAGATTAGTCACGTAGCGTGATTCATTCTGTACACACTTTCTCTCTCTCTCTCTCTCTCTGTCTTTCTCCCGCGAGTTGTTTTGCGTTTTCATTTCTCTTTTTTTCTTTACCAAAAAATGCGCTCCGTGTTCGTTTCTTTTTTTGCTCTTTCTGAGACGTAGAGGGTACACGGGACGCAAACAGATTTAACGTCACTTTGCAGCTTCGCATTTGGCATTTATCGCGCAGGCATCTACGAGTCTAACTAAGCAATGCTCTGAATTTACACAATGAATGGAATAATGAGTATATTTGTTGACACGATAATAAATGTGAATTGTCGAACAGTTTACTGCATCATATTGATAATGCACTTGTGGTAAATTGCAGTTTGATATTTATACATATATATATACACATATATATATTTTATATTGTTTGTCACATGAATATATAAAATAAGGTAAATATATATAATTATACATTAATTATAATTAACTATATTTGTGACTATACATGTGCTACGATTATACGAGGTATGTGTTTATCTGTTTCCACAAGCTTTTCTAACTTTTTTTGTAAATTTCTCTTTCTGTTCTCACTTAGCCGTTTAACTCTCTTCTAGTCCTATAATTAATGGAGGGCAGTCACAATTTCAGCATTGATAAAGAGTTTGTATGTATATCTGTAGATCCTATTTATATATACTTTATAAGAATATATGACACTTGTGTATTGTATTATTTTTTTTTATAGAGTATAATTTTGAAATCCAGTTTGATCAGTTGCGAGTCATCTGTCCTTATTCACAGTACATTACAGTCAAATTCAGATTAGTCAATTGCCCAAAACGATTGACAATGCGTCCATGCTTGTCTGGGATCTCTGAATTGAAGTGCGAAGCCTCGTGAATGACTTTGGGGTCGGAATTAATGTGCGAGCGATCCGCATCGAGTTCAAGTTCATCATGTTCCTTGGCGACACGAGAGCGCTGGAAGTCGAGTCAAATTACTTGAGATCAAATATGTGTCGCAGTGACACATACCTTGCCTGCTGGATAATACGTAGAGTAATTTCCGCTGTCGAGTGATATTTGGATTATATTGGGCATGAACAATGCACAGAGACACTAGGGCGAATCCATACATCTCCGATAGCTGAACGCCATTAACGCAGTTTATGTGACTTGGTCTGCAGGTGGCAAACGTCCCGGTGCGATTATGGCGGGCTACTTGCAACGGGCTAACTGTGACCTGACCTGACAACAGATACCGGCGAGTAACTGGTACCCATGGTATTTATCATCAGCCCTAGATGATATACAAAAATGATATATATATATATCTATTGATAAAAAAAACGTATATAAATACAGACTAAACACCGCCGGAAAAAAAAAAGTTAAAGGAAAGATAGAGCGAAAGAAACAGCAAAGTGTACATATTGCAGCTTGTTATTTGAAAATGCGAAAATAAAAAGAAAAGTACGGAAAAGTGTATCTCAATGACTCGAGACTCAGTCGTGTGTAATGTAAGCCTCGTTGACGAACCATGAAAAATTGTACGAGTGTCTGAATGTAATGTTGTGCCGATATAATATGTTGCTTAGAGAGAAGTTAAATAAAGATAACAGAAAGTAAGAAAAGAAAAGAGCAAAAAAAAAGAGAGTGTGAAATAAGAACAGAGCAAAATCATGCATCAGTGACCAACACGTTAATCTGTATCATATGGAAATTAATTTTTAGCTTTCCAATATAGAGTTGCAGTCGATCCTACCACACGTGCCACTAATTTGGGCCAATTAATAATCGGGATTTTTTACGTTAGAGAAGTTATTTATATTTTCTTTAGGGGCAGCTGTATGTCAACTGGAGTTGTAGCTTATTTGGATCATCGTTAATAACAGTACTTTGCTCTTTTTGATGCGTTTTGTCTCCACACGCACATACACATATACACACACATAACACACGATACATACATATATTGCATATGTATATGTACCTTTTTTTTCACAAAAGAATACTTTTCCTTTAATGTTTTTTTGACGAACATGTTGTGGTGTTCAAATCGAGTTGCCTGTGGTGCGCGCAAAGCCGTCTCTCCTCGTAACTTCAATTTCACTACGCTATCGCGTAGCAACTGCGTATGTAACTTTTGTATAATATAACGTACGTATAACTTTATCAGAGTTCATTTGTTCTAGGTAATGGTATTGTAACTTTACCTCTTGCTGTCAGAAATGTAACTATCTTGTTTAGTCTCATGCAAGGAACGTGTTTATTTTTCCAAATCTACATATGTAGGACAACACCTGTTGTATTTTTCTGTTGCTGCAATTGGAATTCCAATACGAGCAATGTGTAACTCACACTTGTATAAATACATCAAAATTGTTTTGCAGTGCCCCTTTTTCCAGATAGCATCATGGATCATCAAATCTATCACTTTATTAAGTTTCTAGTACGGCTCTGACTTTGCACAGGAATTTGTACATTCTCTCGAATCGTCTTTGCGTAAATTTTCCTTGCAAACAGCAAAGTAGCTTCGTTAGTGCAGTGTCTCTTTCTCTGTAAAGATCCTATATCCCGAGCCTCTCTTTTGGTAAAAATAAATTAGTTCCATTGCTTTGCAGGTTGACCGGAAGTAATCAGGACTCTATATGATTGATATATAGGCACATTCAATTTCTCTATTACTCTTTCATTTTTTACTTTTAATACATAGTGTGCCTGTAAAAATTCAATTGAAACAATAAACCGCAGTCGTAAGCGCCGCGATAGCGGTCGAAAAGTTAGGGCGGCAAGAGAGTTACTCTTCCATTTCATTTATTTAAAAATTGTATTTCTGCTTATTGTTTACAGAAAGTTATTTGTCGGTGGCTTGAGCTGGGAGACAACTGACAGTAAGTCCTGTGCCGTATACTTAGCCAGATAAATTAAGGCTCTTGGGATAATCGCTGCAACTGTCCTTGTTTGATGACGTCAGAAATGAGAAAACGCATGTCAAGAATTCTTGCGTTATACGTTGAAATAAAAAGATACACTCACAAAATGACATTTGTGATCGATTCAATACACTTGTAAAATTATACGTCCACTTTTCTCTTACTCGAACAATTAATAAACAGCCGCAAAATTAATTTGACACGGAAGTCTTTTTAACCTCCTTTCTCATGATTTTGTCAATGTTAATTTTACGACTATTTATTGCTTGTTCGAGTAAAAGAAAAGTGTACGGACTATTTTACAAGTATACTGAATCGATCACAAATGTCATTTTGTATATCTTTTTATTTGAACGTATAACGCAAGAATTTTTGACATGCATTTTCTCGCTTTTGACATCACCAAACAAGGAGACAGTTGCAGCTACTACTCAAGAGCCTTAAGTAAAAGTCGTCGAGGATAAAACTGCACTTTATCTTCGACGGGGGAAGATTAGCGGGCGTTTCTAACCCGTTATGTTTCTGCGTTTCAGAGGAATTAAGAGATCATTTTAGCACATATGGAGAGATTGAGAGTATTAATGTTAAGACAGACCCCAACACGGGGAGATCGAGGGGTTTTGCCTTCATTGTCTTTGCCAAAGCCGAAGCTCTTGACAAGGTATTTGATTCTTTCTTATCTAGACTTTTATCTAGGCTGAGCTCAGCCCAAAAAAAAGGAAATTTCGCAATAAGTTCACATTAAATCTATTTTTTATGTTATATTATCCGCAACTAAAACTGCGTTGGCTCTTATTTCTCGTTTACTTACAAAACCGTATATAATTTAACGTTGAAAGGAAACTGAACGAAGTTCCAATACGGCACTAAGTTAGCAGTAATATTTCTATTGTTCACATGATAACCAAGTAACTATTTTCCCCGTGCAGATCATGTCGGCCGGTGATCACGTTATCAACAACAAGAAGGTCGATCCGAAGAAGGCGAAGGCCAGACACGGCAAAATCTTCGTTGGCGGCCTTTCGACGGAACTGTCCGACGACGATATCAAAAACTTCTTCTCACAGTTTGGTAATGTAAGTATCACACTCGGTTAAAAATTGAAAAACCGATGGCCAGGCCGATATCGATTCATCACGTTCGACTTTCCAGATCGTTGAAGTGGAGATGCCGTTCGACAAAACAAAGAACCAGAGAAAAGCGTTCTGCTTTATTACATTCGAATCTGAACAGGTAGTCAATGAATTACTCAAGACGCCGAAACAGACTATCAATGGAAAAGCGGTAAGTTTTCTCGGCTTCTCTCATCGCCACTCGGCGAGAACACTCTCGTTGAACTTTCGCCTAATTAGTCGGCAACCGGCGTTTGTCCTCTGTTTCTCCCAATTGATCCCGAGCTCTCCTTCAGGTGGACGTGAAAAAGGCGACGCCCAAACCTGTAGACGGCACGTACGGGATGCGCGGTGGAATGATGGGTCGCGGTAGAGGCGCTCGAGGTGGACGAGGTCGTGGATTCGGTGGACAGGGCGGCTGGGGACAGGGCTACGGCGGCGGTTACGGTGGTGGGTACGGCCAGGGTGGCTACGGTGGTGGCTACGACGGTTATGGCGGTTATGATTATTATGGCGGCGGTTACGGAGGCTACGGTGGCTACGACTACAGCGGTTACGGCGGTAATTATCGTCATATTTCTCCCTCGCGCCGCGCGTACACACACACACATACATACATATTTTTGTAGCAGGTCAATTCGCTCGTACATGTAAGTTACATAACACATACGCAGGGTGAGGTGTTGTATTCCGTCGCTCGAGCGATCCGTTTCCCGGCGATTCTCCGGAGATACTTTTATTACCCTCCGTGTCCGTTCTCGGACGTAGATTTTCGCGGAACATCGCGGGCGTTGATTTTCTTTTTAATTTTTTTCTTTTTTTTTTGTTTTCTTTTTAAATTTTCTATTTGCTCGCTGTACGACGGCGGCGGATGCTGACTCCATTGTCTCTTGTATCGTGTGTTTCATGAAACGCAGATGGCTATGGCTATGGCGGTGGTAATTACGAAGGTGGCTACGCGGGCGGGCGCGGTGGTGCACGCGGTAAAGGTACGCATCAGCGTCCCTTGATACTCTACCCATGAACTTGTATTTTTTCGCTCTATCTCTGTTTCTCCACCCCTTTTTTTCTCTCCGTTCAATTTGTTGACGCTTTGCCACCGTTAGAAATTGTTTAACCCATCCCATTAGAGAGTAATCTTTCGGCTGTTTGAGCGTTGAGAGAGAGAAAGAGTGACTATTTGGGCGCGACTTCCGATTCGAGATGAATCGTCGCGTGAAAGTTCTGTAGCTTCGTCGAGTGAATTCCTCTTAATTGATTACATTGATTTTCAATATTCTATGTAGGAGCATTGATGTACGCTCGGGGTTAAAGAGAGAGAGATTCCGTTTGATTCCCATGCTTCTTTTCTGTCATTTCGTTGCTTACTGTTAGTCTATGTTGTTGCTTATACCATATTATTACAGTAACAAAAAAAAATGGGTTGACGATGTTGTGAATACACCTTCACACGTCTGTCAGAGAGGAAGGGTATCGTTCCAGATAGTGTACAGCTTACTACCTTAGCCTGTAGCCTCTTTGTTCTTACATTATATCTTACATTATGTCTGTAATATATTAGCAGTAGCTATATAGAAATAGTTGTAGTATTAGCATAGTGGTAATAATTGTATAGTAATAAAAAAAATATATATATGTATATATTTTTTTCTTTTTTTTTCTTTTTTTTCGTATGAAATGTTAGTTGTTAATGTATGACGTAACGCGTATATCGAGCTGTTTTGCGTGTGTCACGTTGCAAGAGACTTGTTTAATTTATATAAGTAGTTAATGAATAATTTGCGTAATAAGAGATCATTCTAACCAGGTATACTAACTGTACGGTGACGGCATGTTTCAGGAGGCTCAGGCTATGGCGGCAAGCAAAGAGGTGGTGGTCGCCAAAATCAGAGGCACCAGCCATACTAACGAAAATCCTCACTCGCGACCGCAGTGCAATTCGCGTTGTAATCGCCGGTGAGTTGCCGTGGCCCATGAGATCTACGCGTTTTCACACGTATCCTAGGAAGTATCGCAGCGAGATAATAAATATCAATGTCCATTTCTGTTCATTTGTGAATGTGTTTTATAATGGATGTCCCGCAATATTTTTACTTTTGTAACACACTGAGAGAGAGAGAGGGAGAGAGAGAGAGAGAGAGAGAAGCGCGACTTTATTTTTCATTTCTTGACTCTTACGATCGGTCTATCCGTTGTGTCGTATTATCGTGGCGCTAACTGTATATGTATAATATGTATTTTTTAAATATAAATTAAAAATTACGTATGTATAGTCTACTTTTGCTTTTCTTCGCAGGTTCTCTTCCTCACTACAGATCTCGTCGCTCGTCCAATCATCATTCCATTTAACCGCGTCCCTTCCAGAAGATTTCAACAAAACCACACTATACCGAGAAAACTATAAACGAGACAGACAGCAGTTATAGCGATTTCATTTTATATTTAACTCTCTCTCCACGTCTATATGCTTCCCTTTCTGCCGTTTGCAGTCTGAACCTTGTTTCTTCTCCTTTTTAACAATGCGATCGCGGTAGAAAAGCAAGCATATATATACACACACACACACACACACATATATATATATATATTATATAAAAGAAACTAAAGAAAACCACTGACAGCATTGAATGTATGCCGAACAAAGATATGAAGTATCCAACAGTATAAACAACCTCGAAAGGAATAATGTTGCCGTAATAATAGATGAAACGAAGTAAGAATAGTTGTATAAAATAAAAAAAAAGGATTGTAAACACACGGTAACGCGCGATATAAAAAATATCTGCGTCATTACTGAGGAACCGATCGTACGAGATTATTTCCATTTGTAACCCACTACTACGACACGTGTCTTTTTTTATCTCCCGATGCTCTCGAATTAGTTAGATTGGATTACGGTTAGAGTAAGCGCGATCTTCGACTACAGCTACATTTATGACGAGTACAAAAGTCGAACTGATTGTATGCAAGTATACCGATCTTTGTATTAATGCGTGCCGAAGAAAATTGCCGTTTGGCGGAACTTTTCTCTATCGTGCTCGATGTTATATCTTTTAAAATATAACGCCACTGTGTTGTGTACATAACTCCAATACGAGTCGTTCTCATTAACATAACATTGTATCTTTTGTAAATCGGAGCGTTCAGAATCGAAGAAAAGTATATATTTGAGATTATCTTGTCGACTGAAGAGAAGGAAGGATTTGCGAGCATGGCTCCGAGCTCCGTTAGGAAAATCCGCCGACCGACCGATCCGGCCGGCAGGACTGAAGATCCCGAGAACTCGCCGGGAAAATACCAAGTGCGTCGTCCACGTGCTATAACGAACATCGGCCGGCCGAGAGAGGAAGGTCGTGGAACGAATCCCTCGCATACGCACGGTAGCGCGAGCGTACATCGGTACGCCAATAGTATATCCACGTCATTATACGGAGGTATCCATCGTGGTATTTGCGAAAGGGTAGGAAATAATAAAAGGAACGACACGACAACTCCAACGAAAATCGCTGTAAATCCCTCTTCTGCGTATCTAACAAGAACGACGCTCGCTTGATGCACCATCCGATGTATCTCGCGTCGTCGCGCGAATTTGAAAAAGCTATTCTCCGGTCGCGTCAGAGTACTGGTCTACCAGGGGTCGGTCACGTGGTCGGCAATTACACGCGGCGCATGCGCACGAGGTAGCCGTGAGTGCCACAGGATTCGTCCGTCGACCTTCTCACGCACGTACAGTTGGCGGGCCTGTCGCAACGGAAGCGAGCGAAGCAGCGCGAACGAGTAGCGAGACGTGTTCAGGTACGGGCGAAAGAGTGTTCGTCGCGCGAGGGCTTTCATTGCGCGTGAATGAATGATATCCGAAGATTCGGGGAGGCGAGCGACCGACACGGAGAATCGTCTTCGGAGAGCGACGGAGTGTGGGGACCGACGGTGTCAGTGATATGCCAATAATTAGCGTTCACAGCCCCGATGGACGTCCCGCGCTCGTAGAGCTAACCGTCGCCGCCGACGCCACGCCGATCAGCGCATTCTCATCTCGAGATCACTGAAGGTAGGCACGTCGTCTCGGCCCCGGGCATCACGATCACGTAGTGTCCCCGCATCTCGCGCACTCTCGCTCCCTCGGCCTCTGCGGGCGGGGGGAGGACAGGTGTTCGCGTCGCCGAGAGATACCACGGCGTCGTCGTTCCCCTCGAAACCGCGCTAATTAGATGAGGGCCATTTCCCGCCATATTTTTCAAAGCTTTCGGCAAAACACCGCGAGCTTCGCCTTGGGCCTTCGGTAATAGCTCGTTCTCGCGTATCAGTGCTCCCCGAGCCGGGATCGAGATTCGAGTCGCGGACCGACGAGGATCCGACCGCGGCACCGAAATGCGCGATGTTAACCGTCGATATTTTCCAGAAATCGGGCAACGCAACAGAGCAGAATGAGCACAGCGATGGAGAACGGGGGGGCCGGCGACCGCGGCCAGAAGCAGAAGACCATCGAGGGCATCTACCAGAAGAAGTCCCAGTTGGAACATATCTTGCTGCGTCCGGACACCTATATCGGTTCCGTGGAGCCGATAACCGAGATGATGTGGGTATTCGACAAGGAGAAAGAGATGATGGTGCAGAAGGATATCAAGTATGTTCCCGGGTTGTACAAAATCTTTGACGAGATTCTGGTGAACGCCGCTGATAATAAGCAACGCGATCCTAAGATGGATATGATCAAGATCGACATCGATTCGTAAGTGCCTCTCGAGTAATATTGAAGTCTTTTCCGCTGGTTCTCTCGATGAATAATTAATTCTCAAATCTCAAAGAGAAAGTCGATTTCAATTCTGCGCCATTAAGCAAATGCCGTTATGACGCTGTTGCAGTGAGAACAATACTATTTCCGTGTGGAACAACGGGAAGGGTATCCCTGTGGTGATACATAAGGAAGAAAACATGTATGTACCTACTATGATATTTGGCCACCTCTTGACATCGTCAAACTACGACGATGAGGAGGAGAAGGTGACTGGCGGTCGAAATGGCTACGGCGCCAAATTGTGCAATATCTTTAGCCATCGTTTTACCGTTGAAACTGCGACAAAGGAGTATAAGAAATCCTTAAAGCAAGTACGTGTAGCCCTTTGATATCTTTATCTCCCCTCCTGCCACCCTTTCCTTTCTCTCAATATTTATATCGCCATTTCTTCCACAGACGTGGGGTAATAATATGGGCAAAGCCAGCGAGCCCAGGATCAAGGAGTACCACGGCGAGGATTTCACTAAGGTCACGTTTTCCCCCGATCTGTCAAAGTTCAAGATGCAATCACTGGACGAAGATATCGTAGCTCTCATGTCCCGGAGAGCGTACGATGTGGCCGCCTCCTCGAAAGGCGTCAAGGTTTACTTGAACGGCACACGAGTCCCGGTGAAGAACTTTAAGGATTACGTTGACTTTTATATCAAGGGTAAAGAGGATGACGCTGGTAATCCGCTGAAAATTATATACGAGCACTGCAACCCACGTTGGGAGGTGGCTATTACCTTGTCCGACAAGGGGTTCCAGCAAATGTCGTTCGTGAACAGTATCGCCACGACGAAGGTATGTCGTGCTACTACTGTGCAGCTACATGCGAGATCGTCCCGAATGCTTAAAATCGTTCGATCTATCCCTATAGGGCGGTAGACACGTCGATCACGTGACGGAGTTGATAGTTAAGCAGCTGATCGAGACGCTGAAGAAGAAGAACAAGGCCGGCGTGACCATCAAGCCGTTTCAAATCAAGAATCACCTGTGGGTCTTCATTAACTGTCTCATAAACAATCCCACATTCGACTCGCAGACTAAAGAGAACATGACTCTGCAGGCGAAGAGCTTCGGCTCCAAGTGCGCATTCACCGACAAGTTCATCACCTCTGTAAGTACGATTGTCTATCCGCCTCCATAAATATTCGTCCAACATCAAGCCTTTCGGTTCTCCCCACATTTTCTATTTGTTCGGCCGTTCCCGTAGGTCGGCAAAATCGGTATCGTGGAAGCGGTGTTGACCTGGGCGAAGTTCAAGGCCGACAGCCAGCTTCAGAAGTTAGGCCCCAAGTCAAAGCAAAGGAAACTTCAAGGTAAGAGGTCGTCTTGAATCCTTCGCTTTGGGCGTTCACGTGAGCGTTTAATCGAGGAGAATTTCACAAGTATGCGCGCTCCGCAGGTATCCCCAAGTTGGAAGACGCCAACGATGCGGGCACCGGCAAATCATTGGAATGCACCCTCATATTAACAGAGGGAGACTCAGCCAAAACGATGGCTGTGTCCGGTATCGCTTCCATTGGCAGAGACAAATACGGCATATTTCCATTGAGAGGTGAATTCTCGTTTTATTAACAAGACAAAAATGTAGGTGTACAAAATTTCATGGTGTTGTAATAACACAAAATTCTTTGCCGCAGGTAAAATGTTAAACGTGAGGGAAGCTACGCACAAGCAGATCCTGGAGAACGCCGAGATCAACAATCTGATCAAGATCCTCGGTCTTCAGTACAAGAAGAAGTACGAGACTCGGGAAGATCTGAAGACATTGCGCTACGGAAAAATGATGATCATGACCGATCAGGATCAGGTGTGAATCTTCGCGCTGCATGAATTTACATACGCTGCGTAAAATTCGTCGTGTCTACACACTAACGACAATCCGCGTTTCACAGGACGGTTCACATATCAAAGGTCTCCTAATTAACTTCATCCACCACAACTGGCCGTCATTGCTGAAACTAAACTTCATCGAAGAGTTCATCACGCCTATCGTCAAGGCCACCAAGGGCAGTCAGCAACTCTCATTCTTCTCGCTGCCGGAATTCGAGATGTGGAAGAAGGAGACGGAAAATTTTCACACGTACAAAATCAAGTACTACAAAGGTGTTTATTTCAAAAGTATTAGTGTAAAAGTTGCGACATAAAAATATGTATATAGATATATGTCGTGGGTTTCAAAACGGTTGAACGCTTTTTTTTTTTTTTTTTAATGCGGTTTAAGAACGGTGGTCCAATGAGAGAACTCGTTTTCAAAAAAACGAGCTTCCCCTCGTTGGACCGTCGGTTGCGTTCGAAATTGCGTAGGAAAATGCTGAAGTCGTTTTGAAACTCCGTCAGCTGCTGCGACGTACGTTGCATTATCCATCTGCTAACTTGATTTGCGCTCATATAGGTTTGGGTACTTCCACTGCCAAGGAGGCAAAGGAGTACTTCGAGAACATGGCCAGGCATCGAATACGTTTCCGGTACGACGGCGAACAGGACGACCAGAACATCATCATGGCATTCAGCAAGAAATGCGTGGACCAGCGTAAGGACTGGCTGATGAACCACATGAACGAGACGAAGAGACGAAAGGAGATCGGCCTCGGCGAGCGTTACCTTTACGAGAAGGACACGCGTGCTGTCTCCTTCTCAGACTTCGTCAACGTCGAGCTGGTGTTGTACAGCAATTACGACAACGTCAGGTCCATCCCGAACATGATAGACGGCTTCAAACCGGGCCAGAGGAAGGTGATGTTCACCTGCCTGAAGCGCAACGACAAACGCGAGGTGAAAGTGGCGCAATTGGCGGGTTCGGTCGCCGAACATTCGGCGTACCATCACGGCGAGACGTCCTTGATGGCGACCATAATCAATCTCGCGCAGAACTTCGTCGGCAGCAACAACATCAATCTGCTGCAGCCGATCGGTCAGTTCGGCACTAGACTGACCGGAGGAAAGGACGCCGCCAGTCCGAGATACATCTTCACCATGCTCAGGTATGTTCTGCGTCAGTTTTCGACATTTATCCGCATTTTCGAGGTGTCTTTCAAGAATTACTTCCACTTTCTTCCCCTCGACTCTTCCTGTTTTACATTATTCGCTTATTTACCCGTCCAGTTAACGCGTGAACGAGTCCCTTTGGCGTACAAATTTAGTTTCTAATGTAGAACGAATCGCACACAAAAAAAAGAAAGAAAAGTTTTTTTTCCCCCTTATGCCGATTGCTTAACGTGGATATTTCTGCGTCACACGGCCCTCTGTCTACACGTCTTCCTTTTTCGCGTAGTCCATTGGCGAGGTACATATTCCACAAACACGACGACGCCCTGCTGAGACACGAGTACGACGACAATCAAAAGATCGAGCCGGTCTTCTACATACCCGTGATCCCAATGGTGTTGGTGAACGGAGCCGACGGCATCGGCACCGGCTGGATGACGAAGATCCCGAATTACAATCCGCGGGAGATCATCGAGAACTTGCAGAGGATGATGGACGGCGCCGATCCGAGGCCCATGGTAAATGATAACGACGCTGGAGATACCATTAGATTATCCAAATCCAGTCAGAAGTATAATTTTACTCCGTCCAATGGATACGCAGGATGCGGCTGTAGAAAAGAGAAAATGCCGAGATACTCGTTGATGTTCCAGAGTCCGTACTACAAGAACTTCAAAGGCGTCGTGGAGAGCTGCGGGGACTACCGTTACGTCATCAGCGGGGAGATATCGGTGATAGGGCCGGACAAGGTGGAGATCACCGAGCTTCCCATCGGGACGTGGACACAGACCTACAAGGAGACCGTGCTGGAACCTATGTTGCACGGAACCGACAAAACGCCGGCCGTTATCACGTAAGTCGTCCCTGAGACCGATTATCGCTCAGCATAAGCTACCTGATTGGGACCTACCTTTCATACTCTCGGCACATTTGACCTTTAGAGACTACAAGGAATATAACACAGATACAGCGGTGCACTTCATAGTGATACTGAACCGCGACAAATTGCTGGAGCTGGAGAAGGACGGTCTTCATAAGGCGTTCAAGATCCAAACGACGACGACAATAACGTCCATGGTAAGGTCGACACCGCCGGTCGTTGTGTCGAGCGGATACCACACGACGGAAGTCAATTCGTCTGTTCTTTATTGCTCTGCACTGCTGAACTTAAGTTCGCGATAAGTCGAATTGAGACAAAGTGTGTGTTTTCTCACTTGTTGCACCGATTCGGCAGTGCAGCCGTAAAGAGCAGACCGAAAGCGAACGATCTGCTTCTCTGTGCAGTGCGCATTCGACGAGAACCAATGCCTGAACAAGTACGACAGCGTGATGCAGATAATGAAGGTCTTCTTCAAAGTACGAATGGACACGTATCACAAGAGGAAAGACTACATGGAGGGGGTTCTGCAAGCGGAGGCGGCGAAGCTGTCGAATCAGGCGCGCTTCATCCTGGAGAAGTGCGACGGCACCTTGGTGATCGAGAACAAGAAGAAGAAGGACATGATCGCGGAATTGGTCAGGCGCAATTACGAGTCGGACCCGGTGGTGGCGTGGAAGATGTCGCAGAACCGGGAGCAAGTGCTGGTGAGTACAGAGAGACACACCTGCTTTCGCAACGACTCTCCGTGCAAAGCAGAATCAAGGTTACTTATTAGACTTCGTTTATTCTGCTACGCCAGGAGGATCAAGTAAGTTGTTATAGGGGGAAATTGTATGTAAAACTTCCAATGCGTGAACGTAGAAGGTCTTCTTCTCGCGAATACGGCCGTCGGCCAAAGGGTGAAATCCTTCGGCAGGAGAGTGTCCCTGTCGTCGAACGGAAATAAGCAGGGAACCTTCGGTCGATGAGACAACACTGCTTCGGGCCGTGGTCGTCTTCGCGCGAAGCCTCCTTCGCATCGGCGATCGCACGATTTTACGACACTAATCGGCATTATCGCGAACGAATAACAGGAGGAGGTCGCGGAGAACGACAACGAGAACGACAACGAGAACGCCGCGACTGCGAGCGCGATGGAGAAGGAGAATTTCGACTACCTCCTCGGAATGACGATGTGGACCCTGACGAAGGAGAAGAAGGACGATTTGCTGCGACAACGGGACGAGAAGGTGGCGGAGCTGAAGAGACTACAAGCTCGTACGCCGATCTCTTTGTGGAAAGAGGATCTGGACAATTTGCTGAACGAGTTGGACAAGGTGAGAGGAGAGATCCGAGTCTTCCATGAAGTGGGAAGTAATTGCGTCCTTCACACTCTCGCAGCCGGTGATCTCCCTTCTTTCTAAAACTGGAAGCCGAATACAATCGATTTAAATCTATAACTGGTTGCTGCTAAGTTCTGTCGTTAAAAAAATAAGAATAAAAAACTAAAATTTACTTTAAGGTAGTTTCTAGTTACTTGTTATTTGAAATTGGAGAAAATTTATTTCTTCAAGATCCAAATATAAAAAGAAATTATGAACTTAGGAAATGTTGAAGTTTAAAGAACTTAAAATTTTTTACATATATTTTTGAAGAAATTGAACACTTTTATACATCAAAATTAAATTAATTAAACGCTCTTATATAAAAAGAAAATCAGTTACATACACAGAAATATAATTTAATGTTTTTTGTGTCATAATTTTGAAAAAATTTACCGTTATATAAAGGAATTCTGTAAGATTTGCAGATAAAAGACGTAACAGTACGCTTTCCATTAATTTCATATACTCTAATTACAACTCTGAAAAAAAGAACTTTAATTTGAACTTAAAATATAACAAGACGTTTTTTGGCTCGCAGCTGGAAGAGAAGGAACGGAAGGAAGAGAATAAATCGAAGCAAGCCGTCAAGAAGCCGCCCCAGAAGTTCTACAAAGTGGAAGATACCCGTCGCATAATTCCCGTCATCGATGTTGAGCTGAAGAAGAAGATCGAAAAGGCCGACATCGTGTCAAAGGACAAGAAAGAAGGCATAAAGAAGCCGCGGGTGAGTCTCCCACCACTTGGATCTGATTCGATTCATTCGACCGTCCGTTTCGTCGGCAAGTTTGCGTCATTTGTAAAATCCGTCCTGTGTTCCAGGGGAAGAAAGAGCCGATTTCGCCGGAGGAGAAGGACGAGTTCGACACGTTAGCCGATAATGCGAAGACGCTCGACGACAGACTTGGAAATTCTCCGGAAAAGATGGAGAAAAAGGCCGGGAAGAAAGGTCAGTGCCAAACTTTATAGCCGAGTGACACGTGAAATAGCGCGAGACTACTAACTGTACATTCTTGGATTTTCGGCGACAGGTATGAAGCAAACGACGTTGTCATTTAAGCCGATCAAGAAGGAGAGCAAGAAAAAAGATAAGCATTCGGACGACAGCGACGACAACATTGACTTCGACAGCATCTCTGATACGCCACTTCCGACACGCACGACTCGCAGAGTCACAGGTATATCGATGATTTTTCGCAGTACGTATTACTCTCTTAAAATTCTGCTCGTGCTAATCGCTCGATCTGTCCTCACAGTCAAGAAGAATTACACCATGAGCAGTGAGGAATCAAGCGACAGTGGCGAGATGTTCAGTCTTTCCGATTCCGAGCAAACGTACGTATGAAACCGCTATTACGATGAATAGTATATACAGCCATGTACAGTCATATAAATAATATGCGTGCATAGAGACAGTGGAAGAAAAATTGCGACATTTTTTCCGAAGAGTTTTACGACGCAACTGTATCCAATAATGGGACAGTGTATTTTTTAATAATTCTCAGAAGATATATCATCGGATACTGGATATCCGGCGTTCCGAAATTCACGGGGATTAAAGTGTCGTCATGAACTGTCTTCCATTAACTGCACTAAAATCTTGTAACCTTCTCATCGTGTATGCCTCCCTTGTAGAAACAAGCAAAAAGTTTTAGTACTGAGTGATTCGGACGACAATTTTAAACCCGCCAAGAAACCGCCCCAACCGACACGTAAGTGCACGGAATAATATATATTTAGGTTACTTTCCAGCGAGAGACAAGTCGACACAAATCTGTGTCGTCATTTGTCCTTGTTTCGCACTTGGTAAAGAGAAGAACAACAGATGATATAATTAGACTTGTGCGTCGACTTGCGTTTTTCGCTGGGAAGCAATCTTAGTGCACACTTGTGCAGAGAATAAACGACGCACGACGTGTTGAGCATTGATTTGTGTCCGCAGCGAGTTCAGAGGAGCTTTTCGACTCGTTGGTCGGCAATTCCTCCCCGGAGAAGCAAACGAAGCCCACAATAACCTCATCCGGCGAAGAGTCGCCGGCGAAGTTCACACCGCCTAAGAAAGGTAATTCAATGTCTCTTTTAACGCGTGTCGTGTAACGAATAGACTGTTCCGTAACTTTCTCGCTCACCTGTCGCTGTTACTCCACAGCGCCAGCGAAGAAGAAGACTGAGAATGGCGGTGGCAAAGCGACCAAGAGGCAAACGAAGAAGAAATCAAAATCGTCGGACTCCGAGACGGACGACCTATTCTCCAATAAACAGATTCCCGTAAGTAATAAAAGACGAATTCACGACGTCCTACTGTTTCCTCCGGTGGACATGCATTCTCTCAAAATTCGGCAACCAGGGCGATTCTCCGATATCGAGACAATCTCGAAACGTAATTATCCCGAAAACAATACACACAGAAGTGTAATTGTCTTACTGTTTAAACATCGGTACATTTCTTTCGTTCGGGACAACGCATGTCCATCCTTTCCAACTTGTCGGTGAGGATGTGATCCGCTCACGTGATTTTCCCGCAGTCCAAGAAGAGGAAGAAGAAATCCGATTCCGAAGACGACGCTGCAACCGACGATTCGCCGATCCCGCCGCCCCGGAAAACCGCCGGCCGGATACGCAAGCCGGTGTCCTACGCGGTGAAGTCGGACGACTCCGATTCCGATTGAACTGTTTCCCTTGTATCTCGTGCTGTGAAAGTGCCAGAGACGGTGCAATTAACGTAAGGTTCTTAGTCCCTCGCTACGATCGTCTTGTTCGATCCGACGACGAAACAAGCGAGGAAACGCGTGAATTCTTACCTGGTACTTTCGAATCGAAAGCATATGGCTTCTTCGTGGAAGGTCCTCTCCGTATATTTCGGGCGGAAAGGAGAAAGAGAAAGGAACACAAGCAGAGAAGTACAAACGTGAATGCGCACGGCGCGCACGACGTTGCTACTTTTCCCACGGGATGATTGTTAAAATTTCGAATCTTGCGAACGCGACACTCGAACTCGCGGTGTATTCTTGCGATACACCAAATCCCCTACTCCTTGTACATAAGTGTGTATCGCTCGAGTGTGCGTATTAGCGCGTTGTGGAATTACAAAATTTATACCGCGGACGGCGGTGCTGCTGTTGGATGTACCCGGTGTACTCAGAATAGTCCACACAGTATCGTCGCGCGCGAGTAGTTGAAAGTGTCCTCTCTTCCTCCCTCTCTCTTTCTCTCTCTCTCGTATTGCGGAAAAACGCAAGAAAGGGGAGAAAAACTCGCCAATTTCGCGAAGAGATTGTAAATGTTATATTATTGCCGTATCGATATATCGTTTCCTATTATTTCCGTATTATTAATTAGACGTTTTTTATATTCACGGTTTTCGTCTTTTGCTTTTGATTTCTTTCTCTCGCGAATTCCGAGGAGCCACACGCGGCGCCGCGCGCATCGTCGCGGAAAGGGAATCACCCATGGCGCCGCCAGCGTCGTCATTAGCTAGATTAATTACATGGCACAGCGCAATGCAAAGGAAGCACACACACACACACACACACACAATTGATTCGTCGGATCTCAGATCTCATTGTCACCGCACACACGCTCGGAAAAGCTCGTACCGTACGTTCTCGTAGTTATTACAGTCACGTCGCCGGATCTCTCTCTCTCTCTTTCTCGTTCGTAAGACTCGTTCGCGGCCGGGACGGAAGGAAGCGGATGAAACAGAGAGAAAGAGAGATATATATATATAAACGGGGAAAAGAATGGAAATTAAGACGCGCGCGGACAAATCCGGGAAGAGAAACGTTTTATATAAAAAGAAGAAGAAATAAGAGAAAAGAAAAGAAAAAAAAATGCGAACAAAATGAAATACACAATTTTTAAATATATTTTTACATACGTCACAAAATATGGATTTTTCTTTGAGGTTGTCTATAATATAAACTAAAGAAATTACAACGGTAAATGTCTATTATACATATATACACACACATAGGATGGATCTTACGGCTACATGCGGCGCTCAATATTAATTAAGTTAAGCGAGACAGTCTGACGTTCACTTTTAAGCTTTATACAATACTTGACCACACACACGTGGAATAAAATAATCGGTTCACTTCGTGCTCGTGTTTCATTGTAGCTGGATGAAAGAAGAGAAGAAAAACAAAGGAAGAGAAACCGTGTTTTTCGATCGTAGACCGTCAGACACTGGGGTAAGAGGAGCCGTGTGTATACGATTCTTGATGCGAAGAGCACTGAGGGGGTCTCGAAGGTTTAAGAAGCCTACGGTCGGGAGAATTTCGGATCGAGCGGATTGAGACACGAGAGAATTCGAGAGCTAATCGGCTTCCTCGGTGTGATGTGTCGCACGCTTTTCTTTTTCTTTCACGCCTCTATTCGCTTCCGAGACAGAAAGAATACGAAGAAGGAAAGAGAAGAGGACGGAAGGAAACGCGAAATCCGAGGAGGCCGGATTAGTCCTCCGGCGTGTATTCACCGCTGTGCTCATTTCGAGGATTGACAACTCCGACTGTATTGTAACTAGCGTTAGTTCTATGTACGCGAGTAGTTTGTCCGTTTCGTAGGATAAGAACGAAAAAGGTTCATATTGTGATTGCAGTTTATGACGTTTCTTAACAGCGACTTTGCTACCCACTGAGAAACAGAAAAACGGTGAATATCCCAATATAATACGGAGCCCGAATACATGAATTTCCGTGAGAGACATCCCCCCTCTCCCCCGACCGGCTAAAAACGCTCGTCGGCCACGCGTTTTCAGCCTAACAGTTCTCCGCACCACGTATATCTCTTCGGCGATTTTCATTTTTATATAACTCACACATACATAAATACGTAATAAAATGTTCTATCTTTTTAGACAACCGGCGATTCATTGCGATATTCACACCGCTTGGCGAAAGAAAAAAAAGAAAGAAAAGGGAGGAAAGAAAGAGAGAATGTGAGAATCGAAACTAAAGAGAAGTACGCAGCAGGGGCAGATATATATATATATATATACACACGTGTGTGTATATATATATATACACACACAACATCGTGACGCGTGGTTCATATTTAATTAATAAGTTTACTAACTTTAAAGTTTTTTTTTTATACACAAATACGTAAATTTATTGCTATAACGTTTCATACACCATCCTCGACGCAATTCCTGTTTCTCTTTCTTCTTCTTTTTCTCTCTTTTTCATTTATCATGAGGAAGATCGTGACTATGCCGACACGCAGGGGCGATCGAAAAAGAGAACAGTGTTTGATCTTATTGTGACAGTTGACAGTGTACGGATCGCATTAACACTTTGACAGATAGGAAGGTACTTGTCTCTCTCTTTCTCTCTATATATATATATATATTGCGCTCAGTGGAAAAAGCTCCGTCTCTAGATAAAAAGCTTTTTTTTTCGTTTTTATCTCGTTCCCCGTTTTTTTTCGGTTTATCTCTCTCTCTCTCTCTCTCTCTCATGCACGCGCGTAATGATAGGTTCGTCGATCGTGTTCCCAAGGGATTCTTTAGATATGTGTGTATAAATGCAAAAATCCTTCCTGTCGCGCAAAGTATACGAACATCGTCCAACGTGTGTTCTCGTAGTTACATATCAAGTTCTCTTATTTATTTCTCTCGTCTCACTACGACGCAAGCTTCGATGGCATAAATGTTCGTTGAACGAGACTCGACGATTAATTTTTTTTAAGGCCTGTTGAAGTAATTTTGATAAGCTTCACTCAGCGATATTTTCTTTCTTTCTTTTTGCTTATTTCTCTTTACGTATTCTCGATATGAAAACAATATACATCAACGGTAAAATGTGCGAATATGACGGATTCTCTCACGTTTAACACGCACGTTATAACAAATGTATACGCGCGCTCTCTCTCTCTCTCTCTCCCTTTCTCTTTCCCCCCCCCCCCCCTTTCTCTCGTCGCGAGTTCATGAATAAATCAAACGAAGAAATGGATCTTAGAAAAATCGACAATCACACACTCTCGGCAGTTATGTTTCCGGCCACGATCCTTAAAACTTATGCCATTCCGGAATTATTATTTAGAGCCCCATTAAAGAGAGTCCAGTTTAGCAGACTCGAGTCACATATTAACCCTTATCGGACGCTAGCTTTTTATTGCGTGGTTCTCACTAGGTTGTAGCTGGTTTCGGTAAATATGCGAACTTGTCACCTCCTACGTGACGTACGACCGCAGCGACGAAGTATTGTTGTCACGTGAGAGGTGACTTACGACCGATAAGGGTTAATTACATCGTGCACCATTGATTAAAAAAAGAAAGTATGTAAATCTGGCTAAAAGAAAACACACCTTCGACTGCGTGTTTTTTTCTTTCGTCTTAACGAGAAGTGGGATGCGGGATTTCGGGAACGGTTGGCATTTTCTTTTGTTGTTGTTTTTTTGTTTTGTTCAGAATTGAAGCGACGGATCTAGTAGTAGACTCTTCAGACTTGTAATGTATTCTCCTCTCTCACCACACTTTTGCCAATCACATTAATGGTATTGAGTCGTCAATACCCGGTGCCCACGTTGTACCAACAACTGACGCAACACTTTTTAACAACACACGCACACGTTCGCACGCTCAATCATTCTTCCTTTCTCACGTTTACTCTAACACGCTATTTTTCTCTTCACGCGTTCTCGCTCTTTCTTTCTCTCTCTTTTACTCCCAGAAGCTGCGGCTTGTCGACGGACGCGACTATAATACAAAGCAAGGGCACTTGATAAAATAACTTAGTCTTCTATTTCATAATTATCTATATATAACATACATATATAAAACAAATTACGAGTAAAGAAATAATGATCGATTCGGTACAGCATTTCACGACGCTTTTACCTTAAAACTTTGCTCTCATTCTCTCTCTTTCTGTCCGTCTGTCTGCCTGCTTTAAATTTCTTGTTTCTCTCTCTCTCTCTCCCTCTTTCTCTCTCTCTCCACTGTCGCCTGATTAGAAGCGGTTCAGTTGTTCACGTGAAACTCGATCTTTTATATGTAGATCCGCTCTCTTTCTCTCTCTCTCTCTCTCTTTCTTTCGTTCTCGCGAGAAAAGGGGAAAGAAGAAGGAAGGAAGGAAGGAAGGAAGGAAGGAAGGAAGAGAGAGAGAGAGAGAGAAAAAGAGAAAGAGAAAGGGGAGGGAGAAAGAAGAAATGAGGAGGAAGAGTGAAGGAGGAAAACGTAAACGCCCAACGCACTCGTCACGACGGACCGCCACGGGGTTTTAAACTATGTACGCATAAGAACGGATTTTACAAGTGGTGATGGTGGTGGTGGTGATAGCAGTGGTGGACTACGACTCTAGTGTTCTTCTTTTCTTTTTTTCAGTTTTCACTTTGGGAGCATATCGCGACCTTCTCTCTCTCTCTCTCTCGTTCGTTCGCTCGCTCGCATCCTCTCACCCTCTTTCTCTACGTAATTCTCTCACTTCTCTCTCTCTCTCTCTTCATTTGTATCGGTCTATCGTTCCGACACAGATAAAAGCCCACTCTCGTCTCAGAATAGGAACAACCAACCAAATCTCTCCTCCGTGTATCATGTCGTGTGTGTGTTTCGTGTGTAGGCATGGATGCGCGTGTATGTTAATCGTTATTAGTCATGATACAAGTAATAATGTTAATATTCGAATAAAGTAACATGATGCGCGGGCCAAGCATTCATGGAATGCCGGACCGGCGCCGAAAGTCATGCGAGGATAGAGCCACCACAGTTGTCTTCCCACTGTCAATGCTTGTCCTTTTTACACCATATATATATATTATGTCGGATTTATTAGTTTATATATATATATATATATATTTATATATATATAGTATAAATATATACACTCACGCTAATTTTAACAATCCTCTATCGCTCCCTCACGCACACTAAACGCCAGGAGAGAGGAACGTCTCTGTGAAAGCGATTGCTCCAATAGCTTTTCCTCGAGTTTCTTTTTTTCGCTCCTATTTTTGTTCCACCCCCTACCCCCTCCCCCCTTGTCCATCCTTCGTTTCTGCCTTGTATTATCGTATTATCTGCAAATAAGTTATATACTTCTATGCCAGGTATTCCCGTCGTTTCATTTTTGTTTTCATCGCTCTCCCCTTCCCCCCATTTTCTTCCTTTCTTCCTTTCTTTTTCACTTTCTCTCTTTCTCGTTTTTCCACACGTGCTTTGTTTCCCCACTCGCCCCCCTCCCCCTTAATCTAAACGTCACTTTTAGTTCACAATGACTTATCACATGTTTAACTTTTCGTTCGCTCGCTCGCTCGCTCGTTCGTTCGCATTCTCTCTTTCTTTCGCTCTCTTTTTCTCTCTCTCTCTCTCTCTCTCTCTCTCTCTCTTTCGCTCTCACTCTCTCATCTCTTTTAAACACTATTATCAAGTCAGCGCACTGTTTGATACAAGGAACGATAATACAATTGAATATTTACGAACACAACATTTTTTGTCATGCTGAATAATGTGGCGTGGCTTGTAGAAAGACGCAAGCTCCTGGACTTGCGGTGACCAGTCTCGCATCTCTCTTGCAATGTCCTATGTAGTCGTCGACCTGTAAGTATAGTTGTGACGGTGTGTGGCGGTGGTGGTTGTGGTAATAGTGGTGGTGATGGTGGTGGTGGTGGGTGGTGGTGGTGGGTGGTGGTGATGGTGATAGTATCCGGTTTAGTATTTACAATTGGTTATAGCAATCGTTATTTCCCTAAAGATGAGATGGTGTGCAGTCCGAGCGTTCAAGATTTGGCATGTATTGGTATATCGAGGATCTCGTCCTTAGTCCTTCCTCTCCACTACGAACTGCTCGACGCGTTCATACCGCTAAACATGCCAATAGTGAACGAGCTCTGCTGCTGCTGCTGCTGTATCTGCTGCTGTTGCTGCTGCTGCTGGCTGTTCGCTTGTCGGCCATGTTTTGGCACTGGGGGTTGCAGGTATTCATGTCTAGCTAAAGTCAGTACGTCTATGCGCTCCTCCTTTCTATACGCTAGGCAACTTCTTATGAAACTCTGCAACAGATCGCACACGATGTGAGATATGCATCTCCCGATGCTCGTCGTCGCTCATCTCGGAGCAGAATTAAAACGAAAGTCTGTTACCCGGNGGGGGGGGGGGGGGGGGAAGGGCGCGTTTTACCTTTGCTTCGTTGCTGACGGTCGGCTTATTCGCGAACTGGACCTCCGTGGCCTTTAATATCGTGTTTTCCTCTAAAATGGTAGCCTGCGACTGGTTGTGGCCGAAAGGCTGCAAAAGTACAATGCTACGTGTTTGTTACCGTGTAAACGAGTACGATCATATTGTAAATCGTGGTTCGTGCGCCACGACAATGCACAATTGCGACAATACCTTTTTACCGTATAGGCATTGGTAAAATATAACTCCTACGCTCCAAACGTCGACCTTGGACGATATTTTGGGAGGATTTTTACCGATGACGAAACACTCCGGGGGCAGATACCTGTTTTGACAATTCGTTTGAGAAGATTCCAATGAAAAGCAACGCGACAGTATATAATCTCAGAAAATGGCGAAAGCACGCATACCAATAAGTACCCGCTCCTTGGGACGTTAGGTCCATCCCGTGATCCGGATTGTAATTCTCCTCGTCCATGACTTTACTTAAACCGAAGTCCGTGATTTTTATTTCGCCGCACACGTTGCCCTCGGTTAATAGGATATTACCTGTGTGAATGAGAACAGAATGAGCGGCTTCACTCTCCCTCGATCCGAAGACTGTTCTTATAGAATCTTTTCTTTTTTCTTTTTTTTCTTTTTTTCGGAGATAACCGACGAAGGATCGTACTCACTTAGCAGGCAGTCTTATTACCTGGTTTTAGATCGTAGTGTATGACTGGGGGTTTTATTTCATTGAGGTATTTTAATGCCGATACGACTTGCATAACAATAGATCTCGCTTCTCTCTCGGGTATAGTCTTATGCTGGAAAAGAGAATTCAAGACACACGTAAGATTGATGAAAAAAAAAAAAAAAAAAAAAAACCAGTCTCACACACAACCGCCAGAGCGGGTGGGAGCTCGCGTGAAATGACGATTGGACGTACCTGCTTGAGGTAAAAATCTAAATCATGGCCATCACAATACTCCAGAACGGTACAAAAGGAATTGGCATCAATTTCAAATACATCGTACAATTTTACGACTCGCGGGTGATCCAGCGCTTTGTGTATATTATATTCTCGTAACGCATGCCTGTCGAAGAGAAGGATAAGTAGAAATACGTGATAGAAGCGTGCCGTTAACCGTGTCTTTATGATCTTTGCTAATTACTCTGCAATAAATCAACAAGGAGATTGAAAAAAAACTTACTTTATATAATTAGCCTTCTTGTCTTCTTTCCAGTCTTTATTTAATTGATGCACTTTGCAAGCCACATACCGCTGCTCTTTTAAGTCAAATGCCTGCGTGAGAAAATAAGACAGTCAGCTTGCACAAGTATATGTGGGAGGACAATTAATTTTCTTCTACGTTCTAATATGAATTAACGTGGATGAAAACAACGCAATGAAACGTTCTCTCTCTCTCCCTCTCTCTATCACTCGCTCACTCACTCACTCACTCACTCATTCACTCACTCGTTACCTTGTGCACTTCGCTGAAACCGCCTTTGCCTAGTAACATTAGTAGAAGGTAACGTTCGTTCAAAACAGGATGGGAGTTGAATCTCGATTGGTCCTCATTGTGAATACGCTTCAGCTCCCTGATGTGTAGGTTCCGCTCCCTCTCGAGCTTCTCCATTTCTAACTGCAGATCCGCGTCCTCTTTCTTCAACGCGCTTTGCCTTAACTGAAACGAGAAAACACCGTCCCGTTTGACGACGTTCGAGAATACCGGAGAAGTCCGGATATATCAGCGCTGCCATCCAGTCACCGGAACGAAAAAAAAAAAAAGAAAAGTGATACAACCGACTGTTTCCTGGCAGAAAAAGTGACCAAAAAATGACCTCTCAGACATCAAAATAGTGAGCTGAAGTGACTTTTTTTACTCTGTGAAATTCTCAGAGCAACTAAGGCCATTTAAAGCAAAAAAGTAACACTTGTTCTTACCTTCCCAGATCAGCTCAGGGGGGAAAAAAGTGACAATAGCGACTCATTTTGGACGATAGTGTGAATTTTTTAGTGACTTGTCAAGAAAAAAATGTCAGAAAAGGTGGTGACTTAAGCGACTGGATGGCAGCGCTGGGACATACGGGGATACACTGGGATATGCGGGGAGGAGGAGAAGGAGATGTTCCACCTTCTCGCGAAACTAGCCCTCGGTACCTTGAGTATTTCGTCAGCTTCATAATACTCCTGCCATGTATACCCAGGTACTGCATCTGGCTTCAAGAACGTCGCCTCGGTGCCATTATGCAGGGAGGATTGCGGTTGGCTACGTTTCCTGCCGGTCTCGCTGTTCGACGGCCTCTTCTTCAGCAGCAACTTCTTCTGTTTATCGATCTCCTCCCGCTCGGTCGCTATCTCCTCCTGCCGTCGCGCGAGCTCCTGAAACGCGTAGCCGTCGGTCCAGTTCTCCTGAAAGGTGGCGCCCACCCTCTGCGTTACGAACTGGCCGAGCCTCAGTCTATTTTGCATACACTTCTGCCTAGCCTCCTTTTTTTCTATGTTTGATTTTTCTTTTAATAACTTCTTTACAACGTCTATACACTTATTTATATGTGATTTGTGCTGCTCAATCATTTTCACTTGATTAGCCACTTGAAGCTTAAGTTCGTCCGTTGTCTGTAACACAAGAACGCCAAGGGGAATCCCCCGTTAGCGATACAAATTGACAATCGTCGCATCCCGCTTGTGTGACGCACAGAGATAGATCTCGGTCTTGCATCAATTTGATGAAAGTGAGGACAGCAAAATGCACAACACACTTACCCTATTTAATTCTTCAATTTTGCTGTTACGTAGTTCTAAGTCCGAGGAAGCTTGAGTTTCGAATTCCTGTATCCTCTGGCAAGTAAGTTCCGTCTGGAATGCAATTTGTATAATTCAACGATGAAGCGCAATTATGTTACCGTAACATCTGATACATTTGTCATCATCGCTCATAAACACCGGATACCTTGCCGCACCCAGAAAGAGCGTGATACACACGAATCGATCCAACAAATTGTCAACGATCTATTACGCTCGATTACGTAATGCGGATTATTCATTGAGCTTTTTAACTATCCCACTACGACGTACCGTTTTGCTTTTCTTTTTTATTATTTGAAATAAATAGAGAGAAAGAGCAAGAGAGAGAAAGAGAGAGAGAGAGAGGAGAGAAAGAGAGCGCGGAATTCAAGCATGAACAAACGCTGACGGAACTGAAAGATCATACAGGCAGCAAGGGAAACACCAAAAATGTATGCATGTGTAAAAGGTCGCTCGTGTGAACGCCAATGGAAGTCCTAAAAAAAAGTTCTTAGTGGTATAGTCAAACGATGCCGGGACTCATTGGGACACCTCTTCGAATGCAGCGTTCAATGAATCCTGGTGGTCGACAACGTGCGTGTATGACGAAAGCAACAAAATATCGAGCCTTTTGACGCTCGTTTCATCGCTCGAGCAATTAGCAGTCTCGGGACACTCTCAGAAGGCACTTCGCCGGACCCGTGAAACGACAAGCAGCCCCGCGGCAGAGAGTGGTATTACAAGGTAGCCTGCATTTGTACAACGACAAATGTATACAGTGCTACGTTCTGGCCAAGAATTAGCTGATTTCACTGCAAACATTTGACAAGAAATGCCCATCCGCAAGATCATAAAAGTGCAGGGCGTACCGAAGGACGTTTAGGTCTATCTACATGTGGTGTTTTCACGGAACACGAACGGAATCTCGCACGAGTACACAGACGAAATTATGAAAGAGAAGATAATCGATCTCTCTTCTCGCGACGATAACCCTCCCCCCCTCACCCCCCTGTTGTCGTTACGATGCTCTGACATTGTTATACCACGCGAACAACCGACAGAAAAGACAAGGCCTATGTAAGAACGACCCCGGTATAAAAATGCTTAATCGGCCAGCTATTCTATCCTTATCGTCGCTTATCGCTTTAATCGCTGAGAAATGTCACCGAGACGCAGCTTTTTTAGTTGTCCTACCTACCGTACCGTACAAATGATAAAAATACTTGTCAGAAACTAACGAAAGAGCAGGGCTTTTGAGACTGTCTTACGTATATTTCTACCACAAACTGCCCAGTGGGTCGTTTCTTATAAAATGCTTGCAGATATTACCGAATTTTGCTTACATTTGGGGTGTTAGTCTTCGCTTGCCTGACCTGGCTTGTCCTATTGAGGTTGGTAGGCCTTACCTGCACCTGCTTGCTGACCATGGAGCCTGCAGGTTGTGTCGAAGCTGGTGGAGGAGGAGGTGGAGGTTGTGGGTGAGGTCTTGGCGGCTGCATCAGTGAAGAGAATTCCGCCACCGAAGAATTGGGTGTTGTTACTTGGGGTGAAAGTAACTGTTGAGGCGATGGTGGATACTGTTGGCGAGAAAGAGAGAGAGAGAGATGTATATACACACGTACAGTTGACACAACGTGTACAGGACAACACAGAGCTGATATACCCATCAAAATAGTCCGCATGCATGACACTTGCGCACATTCTCGCACACTTACCATAGAATAACCCTGCTGAGGAGAAGGGCTCTTGGCTCCACCGTGCCGGATAGGACTATTACCCAGATGATGCTTTGGGAAATACTCATTGATTTTCTTATTATCAAGGGCAGCGATTGATCTAGCGCCTTTACTCCCTATAGGGCCACCTGAAACACCCCCACCTCCATCGTCTGCCTTGCGTTTTCTCTTCCTTTCAGTAGCAGTCCGTGGTACTTTTTCTGGAGTGTTTGCATCCACCTCCTTATCACTGTGCGATGAGCCTGCGAAGTCACAAGTCCTATTAGAAGTGTCGCCAACGACATTGTCAAGCCGCAATTCTCAATGCAAAGTGACAGCTTGTCCATCAAAGAGCACTGGGCAACAGCCAGGCTAGCTGATTATCCAGAAGCGTGAGACACTATCCTCCTCGAGGCAAGGCAGCTGCCTCAAGAAGCAGGAGAGACGCAGGGAATTGAGACACGTATAACCGGCAAGAGCCTGTGCATCACTCACGTGCACACGAGTCGCACGTTTCCACGACGGAATGTATTTTTTTTTCTTTCACTCACCAGTGCTCATGTTCGAATCTTGACTATGAACCGACTGACCAGAGTTTACAGTTGATTGGGGTGCCATCTGAATTTGTGACCCAGCAGACATCTGAAAAGCAGAGGACGAAGAGCACGTTAAAGTACACCGACGTGTACGAGAGTCACGACGAGTCTCAGCGAGAAAAACAAGCGTGGAAACGACGGGGGGGAAAAACAATGCAACGAACCAAATGGTGACGGAAGGAGACATGGTGACAGACTACAGTCACGAGAGGCGCCTGTGCGATTCGACCGTTATCGAGGGTAAGGCTCGCCGCCACATAGTAAAGCCGAATCGAACGACGACGATGATGACGACGAGGCGGCCGTGCACGGCAGAAGGCAGGCGGCGACGACGACGGTGGCGGCGGCGAGAGAGCGCGCGCGATCACGAACGATGGCTGGGTGAAGACACGACGGACGGCACGAAGAACGTATGAGGAACGACGAATGCGGGAGAGAGAGAGAGAGGCGAAGGCGCGAGAAACCGAGCGACGACGGGCCGATGCCTCGGCGCAAGGCGGCAGAACGAGAGAGGTTACGGAGGCTACGCGAGAACGGCGGAAACCGGCGAAACGCTACGACGCTGCGAGGAGCACACCGCACGGAGAGTCGAGATGTTGTTAAAACACACGATTTACACTCCCGGGGGGAACAAACCTGGAAGGATAGAGAAAGACTTATGGAGCGGAGAAAAGAGGGACCAAGGAGAAAGAGAGAGAGAGAGAGAGAGAGAGAAAAGAGGAGGGGCAGGGGAGGCGGGATCACAGCTAGGTAGGGGAGAGGGGAGGGCCAGGAAGGAGAAACGCCAAAGTGTAAGGGAGAAGGATGCACGCGCGCGCACGACGGCAGAGAGCAAGAGGAGGACGGCGTGCTACGGCCACGCGTGGAGAGTGAGCGAGACGGAGACGGGGCGAGCGAGCGAGCGAGAGAACGACAGAGAGAGATTGACACCTTCCAGGACGACCTATGGTGGAGACCCATAGTAGTCGCCGTTCGGGGCCGATCGGCGGTGTGTCAACCGCAGGCCGGAATTTCGCGCACGGTCCTTCCGCAAGTGGCGGCGACGGCGTGCAAGGGAAATGTCCGATATATGTTTAGAGCTAGAGGAATCACGACAAAATGGAGGACCTTAGAGCGGCGGGAGGGAGGGCGGGAGGTAGGCGAAGAGGAGGGGGGGACGGAAGGGTGACGGGGGTTCCAAGGGGC